TATATGAGGAGACATGGGATCTCCGTAAAAACTCTCTGTAGCATTATATTTAACTGTGTCGGACCACGACAGCTGTTCATATAAAACAAACGCGCTGGTGAGTGCAGTCAACGATGCAGTTTTGGTGACTGGTCCTTGTTTGCTCTCTAGGAGGTGCTGAAGGGCTGCAAAACAAAAATGAATAAATAAATTAGCAATAAAGAGTTTAATGCTTAAAAAGTGAATTAAAGTGTGGGTAAAGGACCACATCATCTGTAGTTCCAGTATAACTGAGATCAGGACCTTCAACAGTAATTCCCTTTTTTCCCCTGTCTTTTTCAAACAGTTCACTCTTAACAATCAGATTGAAGTATGTAACACTCCCTCGTCATAATTCTCAGTACAGAACAAACTGTACAGTGGCGCTCACTCATCTGCTTCTCTGTTAGGCCTACAAAACAAGAAGCTTTTCCAAATTCACTCTGTGCAGTGATCTTACATCTGTTTTAACTGTTCCTCGTGTTATTGCCAACACTGCTCCACATTCAGTGGCAGCGGACACTATGAAAGACAACTCGTTAAGTGATTTCATTTAAAGATTGAGGAATACCTTAGCGAGTAAAACCGTCCATACTTTTAAGTGATAATAAGAATAATAATCGATTTAATCTCTGATGTCGAATCACAACTTGTAGCATACCTTCCAAAAAGCCAGTCTTACACAACAAGCTAAACTAGAGTCCTGCCAATACTGTCAGCTGATATTAGCAGACTTATCTGTGATAAACACATTTGAAAAGCAAGGAAGAAACGGGAGAAACGCTCTTAAGTTGAACTCATGTTGTGGTTGTTGTTGCACAGTTTGTCCACCAGAGGGCAAACTATGTCTGCAGCTTTCCTCCAGGCAGGGCACTGGATCAAACTCCACAACCAGCTGATGTGAGCAGTCAGCAGACAAGTAAATAAATAACTACACAGGAAAAATGTGAAAAGTTGGGGGGGAAAGGAAATCTGCGAATTTTGAGAAAGTTCTGTGTCTGAGAAGAAAAAAAATATTGGCCGATAAATCGGGATATCTGATATTTAAATCACCCGATACTGGTATCAGTCTAAAAAATCCGGTATCAGTCGGGCTCCAAGCTAAAGTAACATTTAATTAAGAAAACAGAGCACTGTTTCTGTTTATCAGATATTTAGTAAAAACTAGCCTGTGAAATCAAACCTCTGTCACCGATGTGCAGACTTTATTTAATAAAATCTAATTAACTAGGCGAGTCTAGAATAAACTGAGCATTTCCTTTTTTCAGATCCATGGTAGCACAAAAACTCACAAAAGTGAAGCAGTGAACCCACGCCACATTTCTCCATTGAGGGTTTCATCTATTTCTTTATGTGTGTCTAATATAAATATATGTACATGTTTTAATTATTGAACATGGCAAATATTGAAACTTCAGACTTTACCTCAAATTTTCTTAGGTATCAATTTTAAGTCATTGCCAGTGTGTGTTGTTGATTGTCAGTTTAGGTTTTCTTGTATTTTCACAGTTTGAAATAGCCTCCGGGTTAAGTGTCAAACGGAAAAGTAAGGCGTGCACGAAGCCGAGGCAGTGCATCAGTACTGTAAGATGGGGGTATTTTTAGAGAGGAAGAAACAAATATAAAGGGCGAGAAGAGACGAGACAAGCAGATCTGCTCTTTTCAAAGTAAAAAAATAGAGAGCGGCTGAGGAAATTGTTCAGGAGACTGTTTTTTTTCTACAAAACAAAGCTCCTCGGGAAGATGTTACGAGTTTTGCAACGTGCAGATGGTGCGAGAAATGTCAGAGACAGCCTGTGAAATGTCAGAGGATAATGAGAGACAGTCGACCAGTGTCGAGTGTAATACTTTGGTGGCTTTATGTGAGATCCTTTGTGTGTTTTCTAACACTTGATTTTTGTTACTGTAAAATATTTTCCTGTTGTATATGTGGTATCGAGGCACTTCGCAATTCTCTTTCTATTTTTGTACGCCAATCATTGTTGTTATTCTGATCGAAGAAAGTAATTTAAAACAAAAGATGATTATCCTGATGGAATAAAAGACAAGCAGTTCCCAAACCTACCTTCTGTTGTTTTTGTTGCTCATCTGTGATCACGGGAAACAGAAACAGGTGTTTCTATTTGACAGACTGTACCCCATTAAAATAGAGTCGAGGCCTGTCCATCAGGCAGAGTGTAATGTTAATGTTTTTAAAGCGTTGTCCAAGAGCAGAGGCTGTAAATCAAGGTGGCGATCGTTCCGCATGTTCATCCTCGGCTGGTTTTAAATATCAGACTGCAGCAAAAATAACATAAGCTGCTGCTGCCAGTGTTGGTGCGGGTTTTTGGATGGGAGTCTGCTGCAGCCCACATCATCATTCGGCGCCTCATCCGTCTCTCCCGTGGCGAGGCAGCAAACGGGGCCTGACCGCACTTTCACATTTAGGACCTCATCTATAAAAAGCTTTTTCTTTTAGTGTGTTAATCCAAACTGTACATTTATTATTTTTAAACAAACCACCAAAAGGGAAGGCTCACCCCAAAATTAATGTTAGAATACAGTTTTTCCTCTATTTGTTTCTAGCAGGGTTTTAATAGTTTTGCAATTTTCATTAGTTTTTATTTTTATTTAGTTTTGACTTCAGATTTTCAATTTTATATCAGTTTTAATTAGTTTTTACCAATTGTTTGCTAGTTTAGTTTTTATTTTTTTGAAAATCCTTAGTTTCAGTTTAGTTTTGATTAGTTTCAGTTATAGTTTTAGTTGTGTTTGCAATAATTAAGTGTAACAAAATCCCAGTTTTGTCATATCAGTCATGCTCTTCTGCTTATCCTTGGGTATGTTGCTATTCCAGCTACCACACCCTGCACCCTGGACAGGTCGCCTGTCTGTCGCAGGGCTAACACGCAGAGACAGACAACTCACATTCCCACCTATGGGTTCTTTAAATAAATAAATAAATAAATAAATAAATAAAGGCAGATGAACAACCATTGATACCAGGCAACTATAAAATGTATATCTTGGCCCCAATGAGACAATTAACTCTTGCAGCACCGGGTGTTCGTAATTTTGGTTCAAGTGAATTGATAAACTTTTTGAAGGCAATTGACTCACACGGTTATGTAGATATCCCCGTCCTGTTGTCTCGGGATGCATCACGCTGCCTTGCCTGGGGTTAGCTTCTGTTTTCTGGGGATGAGGGTTGAGTGTGCTCCCTTACCTTCTCAAGGTAAGCTAGGTTAGCCTTCTTGTGTGAGCTTTTCAAGAGCACTTTAAGGTTTGTGGGATTTTTTTCCCCTTTAGAAATGTCCCTCATAATTTGTCTCTTTCCACTACAAGACACTTGCTTTATCCAAAACACAGTCATATTCAAAGTAATCCCAAATTGGACTCTGGCGCTTTCTCTCGACTTTTCCTGACATGATTCTGCGCGTGGACGGAGCAGCAACACAGACGACTCGACTAACGTACTGCCACCTGCTGGCATAATGAGACACAGCAAGAAATAAATCTGGAAACTAAACTTCGTTTTCTCCCTTGACTATTGTATGACACGCACACATCTACGAAAACTAAACACATTTTTGCTATAAATTCAGTTAATTTTAGTTTTGTGAACACTCATTACAGTTTTCTTTTTATTTTTATTTCCGTTAACGAAAATGTTTTTTCACTTCTAGTTTTCGTTAGTTTTCGTTAACGATAATAACCTTGGTTTCTAGTGTGTGTTCTACTTTTGTAGACATCAATAGTTGTGGAAATGTCTGCTTCCTCTTGAATACAATGTAATTATTATCAGCTGGCTTCATGGTGCTTACAACCTTTTAGTGTCAGCTTCCTGTAGGAACTACTTTATAGCTGCATCTCAGTAAAAGAAAAACTATCATTGTGACTAGAGGCTTGTTGTAGTGAGAGCATGCCCCACCATATCTGAGCCATTTTGGACGGCTGACAAAATAGGAAAACCACAAGCAGGTAAATATACTCTCACTTTATTGTGAAACTTCAAACTTCACCTCAAATTTGATTTGTTATCAATTTTAAGTCCCCCAATGAGGTGCTGGAAACATTCCTCAGAGATTTAGTTCATTTTGACGTGACGGCATCACACAGTTGGAGATTTGTCGGCTGCACATCCACGATGAGAATCCCCTGCCCCACCCACATCCCAAAGGTGGGTTGAAATCTAATTGGAGAGGCCATTTCAGTAAAGTGAGCTTGTTCTCACATTCAAGAAACCAGTTTGAGATGATGCGAGCTTTGACAAAAGAAGATGTGCACACTGTGGTCATAAAGGGATGGGAACGGCCAGCAATGCTCAGGATGGCTGTGCTGTGTGGTGTAAAAGAAGTGATTTATCGCATCTTAACACCACCAGCAGCAGCACCAGCCTGAGCTGCAGATGCAAGGCAGAACGGATCCAGCCTTCAGAGATGCTCTTCTGCATACATTCTGGGTCTAACAGTGGTTATCGGAGTTACCGGTGCCTTCCTATCAGCTCAAAGCAGTCTGCCAGTTCTAACCTCAGACACCAACGATGCATTTGTGACCACAGTCTCTTCTGTCAGTCCTAATAATTATATAGCAGACTGAACTGGAACTGTGCTGCTGATGCTTACCGACTCTCAAATCTTATATATCATATGATTACAAAGTGAAATTGCATTCTACTGGTCGGTTGATTTTAGGTTTTATCAGGGGTTTGTTGAATTCGGCAAAATCTCCGCAGAGCACATGAAGCAGCTTTACTTTGTAGCTGCAAACTTAAATTTAAAATGCAGCTCGACCCATTTTCTTCAATTCTTCTGTTTAAGAAAGAAGAAAAAAAAACAAACCTCACAACAAGACATTCAACATGCAACTGAAATATTTGCTTGTACCGCCCCCTGCTGTAAATCAACCGCCATTACTTTAGGCTCCAGTAATAAGTACAAATGGAAAATGGCAGCCCCTCAATCAAAGCCCCTGCCAATAAATAACAAGACTGAGACCATGAATGGCAATAAGCTTTTTATTTAAACATTAAGGCAGTGTCTCTTTTGTTTTTCATTTTTACACTGCTATCCACAAAGCTTGCTGGTGGGCATGTAGAATTTAACCATGTGAATATGTCTTCTTTCTTTTCTTGTAATACCAACCTTGAAGCAAGCCACATAAATATTTACATCTCTTCAGTTGTATATACAATCCTTGCTATTATACAGTGGGTTATAATAAAAAAAAAATGCACAAAATGGTTGAACAATGTGTTGTTTGTCAATCCCCCACCCCTCCCTATCCCACCCCCCCCCACTGGACAGTCCAGGGAACACCATCAGCAATCACCTTTGTCCTTTTAGGTTTGAATGATTAATCTGGTTTCCAAATGAAACAGGCGTGCACTGAACAAACAGTGAGAACAAAAAACAAACTGGATACATGTTAAAATTCATTTTTAGTATACTTAAAAAAAACAAAAAAACATATTAGTCAGGGAACAGCTGGATATGGCTTAGTCTGTTTAGCGTCACATTCTTAAATTTCATCAGTGGATAAGTGATATACACGCAGAAACTGTTTCTGCCGTGCCTGATCAAATAAACCATCCATCAGTCTTGACAGAAAAAAAAAACTTTAAAATAAAAACTAAAAGAAAGAAAAGAAAGAGACCTCAAACACAGCTGAGATGAGCTTTTTGCAGGTAAGGCCAGCTAGATGCTTCACCGTCAACAAGGTAGGATGAAGGAGGGAGAGGAGGTAGTCCTATAACAGTCATGTTTGTGTTGCGAGTATCACGAGCTTACTGCCGCTGCTTCCCAGTCCCAGGCAGGGAAGGAAAAACAGAAGCTTTTCACATCAATTTACAGAGTTAGGGTGACCTTTAAAACGCTGCACGAAAATGTGCTAAAATTGTGAGAAATCGTCGTGTAAAAACTACCAGGATGCTTCTGAACGCCTCGCCCCTCCACCTCCTCTGACTCGTACAAACTCAGGAGCTGCAATGAAGTACACTTGAATTAATTTGTCATAGGTCTGTTGTTTAAGAAAGCGTCTGATGCAGGCCCAGGTAAGCAGTCGTTTGACACAGTTTTGTCTTGTTTAGTGTACAAATCGAATGAGTGAAACATTTAAAAGCTAAGGCAGTGATGGATTGGGAAGGGAGGAAAAAAAGATGTTTCATTTGTTTATTTTTTTGTTTGTTTCTTGTTTTACATTTCCCTGTGTGGACAGTATAAATCCCGGCATGTGGGGGCTAAAAAGAAAAATTGTGCGTCACTTGAGTACTGTATATTGTAAAATAAATGGCACTTAACACTAAGAATATCTCATAACTGTACAAAATCTGCCTGGATGAGGAGTCGAGTCTCAGTGCCTCTTCTGGGCAGCAAAAGGTCAGAGGTCAGATCGGGATTCTAGCAGGCCAGAGGAACCCGACACTGCCATGGACAAAGAGTCATAGAAGGATGGCTTCTTTTTTAATTCTTTAAAGTCACCTTTTTTAATGCAAGGAAACTCGAGTGATGCTGTGGAATTCGCCTTTAAGCAGCTTTAAGTTTGGTCTGCAAACTGGCTCGAAGCGGCTTAAGTCATCGATCACCGAAATGTGATTGTCGCTTTGAGTGCGGGGGAGCTACACAATAGAGGTGGCAAGACCAAAGAACAAAATGAGCAGATGTTGAAGGAGACCTCCACAGTGGGATTTTCTACGCAGTTCTTGTGTCCATTATTTTTTCCCACCTGACACAGGAAACAATTTCTTAAATGCCATTGTGAACAGATTGACAACTAAGTGCTTAATATCCAAAAAACCGTTTCAACAAACACAGACATGGTTAATATATATAAAAAAAATAAAATAAAAAAAAAAAACAGTGAGAGTGTCACTTGTCTCAGTGCCATCCATCTGGCAAATCATCTCTCCGCACATGGATTCCTGAAGTCAAACTAGGGCTTTGCCTTTTCTCCAGGGCCCTCCCCACTATGTGACGACATCAGCAACGAACAGCATGTTTACCCTGTAAACCAATGATATGACCCACCCACATAACAATCTCTGCCTGCGCCCCCCCCCCCGCAAAAAAGATACATCCTTACAACAAAATGACACCATCAAAAGTTCACCATCAAAATGTACTAAAGGTCTCAGCTCACCAAACACAGGACTGGACTGACAGAATTTAAAGTAAAAAAAAAAAAACAAAACCAACAAAAAAGAAAAAAACCCAAGGAAAAAACAAACACGTCGATTCTCCTCCTGTCCACCCTCGCATGTGTTCTTGTAGTGGTAGCAGTGCTCAAGCCACGTACACCTGGAGTTCACCATGAAGAAATACGAGAGGGTCATCCGTGTGCATGCCGCTGCTCTCGGGTCAAATCATCTGTCACTAGAGCAGCAGTCATCGGCCTCCTGACCGGACCAACGACACAATCTCAGTCCCCTCCACACAAGTGTAAAAACATTAGACCAGGATACCCGCAAAGGGTGGAGGTCCATGTGTGTATATCGATAAGGCCAGTGAGGAAAAGTAGTAAATTAAGAAGAAAAAAGAAAAAAAAAGAAAAAGTGATTTGTCCTTTGGAGCAGTCCTGGAGTGAATGCATAACATGTAAGCGCAAACATACATACACGTGCGTGCACACATGCATGCACGGGGGGTGCAGCAGTGCTCCACTTCGTCGCTGTTTGGCATATCAGGTGCATGAGAGGAGGACCCGATCCATTCTCGATGACTGATGGAGGAAATACGTGTTGGAATGGTGTGGGAAGGTCTGCGGATGCCGTGTTTGTGGAGGTGAGTGACCGTACGCAGGTCCTGTTTAATCTGCCGTTTCCAGTCACTCGCTGTCGGACAGGGTCTCGTATTGAGACACAAGCAGAGGTTTGTGCTCCTCCTCCCCCCAGGAGGGGCGACCCTGTCCGGGTCCGGACCCTGGTCCCTGGCTCCCTTGTTGGCCAGAGGAGGGTGAATGAGCAGGCATCGGTCCGCTGGGGTAACGCATGATCAGCGGGTTGCATGGAAACGGAGTTGGTGTTGAACCTGCAGAGAGCAAAACCAAAGAGTTGTTAGCAAGTGTTCACACTGCACCTACAGGATCTCATATGAAATCAGTGTCACAAAGGTTTATACCTGCAGACAAAGGCCGGTCCTCCCAGACACGGTTGGTGAGCGGGGTTCGCCTGTTGCAGTCTCCCTCTGAGTGGACCGAGGACACTGAGGAAGGTCTCTCACCTCCTGAAAGCCCTGGTCCTGGAGACTTTGCCTTGCGCCCATTAGAGCGTCCACTACCCTTCGAGGACTTTGTGCCTCCTGCAAACAAAGGAGATCAAGCGCCGATCTGAGTCTACAGTATACTCCGTTTAAAGATGCTTATTCTGAGCCACCTTTGGCCACATAAACTATAGCTTCCAACATTAATGTTTACGTGTATGGTTCTGTTTGTCACAGCAACACATCAGTAACGCCTAACGTACTCAGGAGCAGGTTTAATCAATGTAAACAAGATTACAGACAGAGCTAAACCGTGTCATTTCAGGAAAATTACCAAGCACCGCTGCTCTATTCTTGGGTTGCAATCAGTGTATTGATAATGACAAGAGCATCGACATGTGTGATGTGTATGCTGAATCAGCCAGTTGATTTCGTAACTTTTAGGCAACAAACAGAGAACTCCATAGTGCTTCCTTTATGACTTAAAACTTGCTTTAACCCAAAAATACACTTCGGTACGGTTGCACAACAGATCATATAATTCAGCTAACTGATAATATTTATTACTATAGATGAGAAGCATGTTAGACCAATTGTTAAAATGGAGACATCTGTTTAAGTAGAAACACCACTCCATAAATAGAAATGCTGGCCACAGAGATTTCCATATATATGCCAAACATTAGGTAACATGATACAAGGACAGTGCAAGGTGCCATTGATCAGATGGCACGGATGCAAATTCTATAAAAATATAGTGTAGGTGTAAAATTTGAACCTTTGGATTCAAATCCAAACCAGATAACGTATGAAGGTTTCTTAAGTGTTGGCACCTTGTGACAAAGAGTCTTCAACTCGCCCCTCTGCAGACAAACCGGAGCTCAGCAGGGTAGCAGCGTTGGATGGAGAGCGCTCCTCAGATTGATCATAATTGCCCATCAAAGCCTTTCTTATAATGGCCTCCAGGCCTATTGAGTTTCCAGGCGTTTCTGGGGCTGGGTTTTGGCGGATGTTTACAGGTACTGTGAAAGAAGAGATCATTATAAAGGTTAATAGTTGGCCGAAAATCACAACAGTGAGATGCAAAATGGTCAGAAAAGTAAAAAAATATGTAAAAACGCTGTTAGGGAGGACGAAGAGCATCAGCAGTGAATAGAGTAAGATATCAAAAAATACAGGATTTCTACTTGTTGGTATACACCAGCCTGAGTGTTTCACACTTGTACTTAAATTCAGTTACAGATGTAGCGTTGAGTGAATAAATAAAAATTAAAAAAAATGGTTGAGCTGCAGCCTCTTCTCCGCGCACACACACACACGCACGCACGCATGCACACGCACACACGCACACACACACACACACACACACACACACACACACACACACACACACACAAAGAGACAGCACATCAGCAGAGGCAGTGAAACCAGGTTAAGTTAAAAATAAATGTTCTGGCAACAAGAACCTTCGTTACTGAAAGAGCAATCAAAGCCTTGGTGTAGGCCACTATGCAAAACACCTGTTAAATTTAAAACCACTGAGCAGCTTCAGTTCACACTTGTTAGCACCTGTATTAGAGCGCAGAGGACTGTGGAGAAACCAGAAAACTCCACTCAGCGTTTACTAAAGCCAATTTCCAACTCTGTCCTGGTTTTAGATTTCTAATGGACTTACTAAAACTTGTTCTTTATCTTCAAGATTAAAAGACAAAAAAAACCCTTAAAAATGTATTTAGGAAATGGCAGGAGATGCACTGTTTGGAACCAAACTGACTCAGAGAACAAAATTAGTGCAAAAAATTACTCCAGAATCAAAGCATCCTTTTAAATTCGTGATAGATTTGCAAAATCTAGAAGACTGGCTGAGAGAGCAAGGAATGCACACAGAGTATAAGCGCAGATTTCAAGCATGTGTTCCTCTTCAGTAACAGCACGGCAATTTAGATCAGAGATCGACAGCCGAAGAAATATTTGCCCTGATATAAAAGCGTGCTCTTCTGTCACAACCTGACAGGTAATGTTTGGAGTTCAGCAAAATCTGAATATCCTATGACTGATTACTAGAGAGGAGTATATATACATGAAGGTGTGCTGACTAAAGGTTTTCTTTATGCACTGAATTCTGTAGAAATATGACAAAACCTGAACTCTGTTACTGCTAAAAGTACCTTTGCTGCCTGTAATACATCTCTGTCATGTATACTTCTTGTATCAGGTAATGTTTTCCTCCTAACAGCTCACTTCAAGCTTGGCTCAGTTACATTAAGATACCAGCCTTTTTACACAGCAGAAATGTGTGAGGATCAGGTCTAAACGTTCTGCAGGACCGAGCCAAAGCAAAGGCAACACACTCTTGAACAATCCACCTGTGCCTACAATACTGCCAACATCTCCCACTTGCATTCCAAATAAATTAGCACTCCTAGTGTCATATATCACAGCTATGTCAGGCACAAACTAAGACATGCTTTCCTCCCCTGGCATTAAAGATTGATGCAGTAAAGTGTTTTCTGTGGTTAGTTTAAATCATCTCCTTCCTAAATATTGTGCTCTGAAAGGGAAACTACGGCAAATACATATTCATTCAGTCCACTACTGTTTCAGTTGCAAACTGCAGCTATGGCAAAAACAAGCAAACAAAAAAAACCTCAGGATTTTTTTTGTTTGTTTTGTTAAACACTTTCAGAAACAGTAAACAGAGTCATAATTGTCAGCCCAGTTATATAAAAACTATGTGTTTAAATTCAAGTTAAGCAACAGAGGAATTCACAGGCTAGCATAAAACTGCAGAAGATGATCGTCTCACAGAGATATGGAGCCCACCACCACCCACAATGCTCTCAGACATGTGCCCATTCCAACCACACCCATCTTTGACTGATTCTAGCGGTGCATTAAACTGCACGTCTTCAAACTTTCGTGGCTGCCTCTTGCACGGTTGTGATGTGCCAAAGTACACAAAACTGACTTTGCGTAACAGTACAAGTTTCCAAGAGCACAGTTTGCTGATACAGTCTTAAGTACTGTGGTTGGTAATTAGCCAAAGCTAGCATTCAAATCAGAGCTTTGTGTCTGCACACAGAAATGGATTGTTAGCTAACGCTTCCTCACCGATGGTGAGACTGTAGGAGGAATTTAAACTGTAAAGGTAACATGTATAGATGCTCTCATACATTTTCTCATATCTAACAAGTAGGAGACCAAGTCAAGCCTACACTGCACCTGCAGCACACTTGAGCAGAACTTGAAAACATGCAGCTAGCACTGTTCCCCAGTGAGCAGCTGATAGCTGTGATCCATGACAGATTAAAGTCTGCCAAGGTGGTGGACATCAATCTTCTTAAACCTAAATCAAATGTGGTGTAGTTGTGTAAGTACAAAGACCGGTTTTTCAAACAAAACAGAGCTAAAATGAAATTTCTGCACTTGGTCAACAATATCAACATGACTGATTTCTTTCTACATTTATTTTACTTCACACTCATGTAGCATCTGCCTCTTGCAGACCCTGTATTAACCACACAAAGGAAGATCAAGCGCAAGTTGCATTTTGAATGTTTGACTTTATGAAAATGCAAAGTTATTTTTGTTTGTTGATGATGCCAGTTATGCAATTCTTAGGTAAAGCTGCCGATCCATTATTATCAAGAAGGCACGGGTATCTCGGCCTAAACGTTCGCTCATTGTTCTGCTGTTTATTAATAGCAATGTGGCTTAAATGATTACCTGCAGTTGTAGATGCTGGCATATTGAAGATTTCTGTTCCAGGCTGACCAGCATCTGAAAGTGTAAACAGGGTTTCTTATTTACGCTCCATTTAAATTAGAATAACATTGTTTACTACTGAGCACTCGGTAAGACCAGTCCTGATGTCAGACTTACTGAAATCAGTTTCACTTCCCACTACTGAAATCATCTTCTTGATGATTTCCTGTTTTTTTGATTTCACAATAGCCGAGTTGCTCTCAGTCAGTTTGCTGAAGAAGGCAGGAGGCTGGGAGGCATTTGGAGGAGAGTGGGAACCCATCCTGTAGAAGAGAAAGTACTATGATGTCAACATGCACACAGACACAAACTAACCCGACTCCTGTGACAAGACAATTTAATAAGCACACATGTAAATATAAGGGCTTCATCATTTTAAAATTGCAAAAAACTTCCAAAACAACAACAACAACAAAAAAACACTCATTTATCCAACCATCTACTGGTGTGCACTGCTGTGACGACAAGCCCACATTTTTTGTACTCAGCTGTGGTACCTGCCTTCTATACTGAGAATTTCCTAAACAGTTAAGGTGCTACATTCAAGGCATCAGGTCATGCCACCTTATCAAGGAGCAGATGCTCTTTATTGACGTTAAAGCTCCTCCTTTCTCCTACCTCAGAGATGAAACACAGCACAATCAGTTGTTAATAAATGCTGAAACCTGGCAATCACAATTTATGGCCCAGAGGATTACGTGACAATCATGCCACCCACTTCGGTTGTAAAAACTTTTTCAGTGCAACAAGGCTGCCAAACAGATACGCAATCATTAAAGTTTCCTATTTCTCTGACTGAAGAAAATAAAAAGTAGGTTTATTAACCCAGAAGCAACTCTGTTATCTGGAGCAGAAACTCCGGAAACCACAATCCAATGTCAGAGTCTGTCACTGTCCTTTAAACATGACTAAACTACACATACACATGTGACAGGTACAGTATATATGCAAGCACAAAACAGTGGGTTACTATTTCATGACCAGGACCTAAATTTTGACATTGTGTTACAGAATTTGCTCAGTGAAATAATCTAATTAGTGGTGCTAAATGTAAATAAACTGTGCTCATAATGGACTTTTTGGAGCGGACTCTTGATTTTCATGCTGCTGCTCCAACCCAAATCCAAACTTACCCTTGCTCTCCCTGCTCGCTGGGGTAGGAGGCTCCTCTCTGGACTTCAGGTTCAGAGTTGGCTCCAGCAGGAGACACTGGTTCGATGCCGTCAATAGAAACACTGACAGGTGATGTTTTAGGCTGAGGTGGAGATCTGGAAAACAGCATGAATATCATAACTTTGATTATCCATTACATATATTCTATGACATAAAAATCTTTTTATCACTTATTTAAGATAAGACAAAAGGTTAGATGCACTAATTGCACCCAACAGAGATTCCTACCGGTCTCTGTTGCGTTCTCCACCAGGTCCCTCGGCATAGCGGGTCCCCTGAGCAGACTCCTGTGAAGTGGGAGGGGGCTGGGAGGCACTGGGTGGACGGGTCAAGTCCAGGACAGGAGAACCGTGGTAGCTTTGCTGCTGGCTCTGCCTGTAGTCTTTAGTTATCACCTCCTGTTTGGGTGAAGATTATCAACATCAGACATTACACAACACTGTCTGAGATAAACTCTATCAGGAGACCCGTGTGTAAGGATTTTATTTTACTCTAAAGAAAACTAAACACATTCGACATGCATGCATTTGCTTTAATACAAACGCCAACTTCTTTTATAAATCACTTCTAATTATTAGATTATTTTATGCAGTAGTTGAGAGGGCTTACGCTGATGTGCTGTGCCAGAGTGACCACCCTTTGGCTGCCTTTGACACAAGGGGACTGGGGCTGCTGGCCTGGAGACAGTCTCTCTTCAGATGGAGAACGGTAAAGACCGTGTGTCATAGCTAAGAGTCGAATCCAGAAAACACACACACACTTTAAAAATTAGTTTGGATTTTCAGGTTAAGGTGACATAATTCCAAACCTTTGGAATGTCCTAAAGAAAACAAGCATTTTTTTTCCTGAGATGTCTCTACACTCATCCAGACTTTTGTAGGCTCAAGGTGCAAGCTTTGGAAAAAATAAAAGAAGAAGAAGAAAAAGAAAATATATCTAAATATGAGTAAGTGTGAAGAGGTCTCAAGATATTTTCAGTGCACACTTTGCATACAGCCTTGGCAAACTCATCTTTGACCAGAAATGGTGCTAAAATTGACAGGTTTTGCATCAGTAACTGAAATGAAGAAGTTCAAAAAGACACTTTTACATCCTCCTTTATATCACTTGAGGGACTTAAAAAGTGTGTACTGCATGTTATGAACAGAAATAGGCTATTACTATCATACTAGAGTACAAAACCTAACTCCAGAAACTCCATTCAGTCGAGGGTCTAAAACATTCTCCCTGTAAGCTCTCGAGAGCACTACAGCACATGGATTTCAAGACTTTGTGTCCTTTGTGTGTCATATCTCGCTACGTGTTTTTCTTACACAACTCTTACACTACATTATTCATTTCAGAGGATGATGTAAGTTGAAAGAGGGGACCAGGATTGACTCTGTGAATCCCAGAGAGGGAATGAGTGATCCTGTGGGGACAGCAAGCTCTGCCTTTTGTTGTTAGCTAGAAAACACATGAGAGACTGGGTTCATTTCAGCAGCAGCTTTATAAGCACCTGTATTTCTCTCTGTGGATCCATCTACTGTTTTGTGAACAACATCATCCTGGTGTTGTCATCTAGCTCAACCATCTCATCAGCTTTGACAAGCATGCTTCTCGAGTACATTAGCTCGCAACATCCAAAAAAAAGAAAACCTAAATAAATCAGCATAGATTACAGTGAGCAGTAAAACAGGAACATGCACAGATTTGGAAGGCCAGAAGCTGTAGTACCCCCTCCCCCTGATTCGCTGAAAGTGTCTCCAGTCTTTGCCGTGTTACTTCCCCTTCCCACCTGCCTTCTCTGCAACACTGGTGCACTCTGGGACCCCAGGGAGTGAGTTTGGTGGATGGTAATGCTTTTCCTGTTTAATGAAACTATCAGACCAATTTTCTATTTCAATGTTCTTTTTCATCTGAGTTACATATGTTTGAATTACAGCAGTCTTACTGAACAGAGGGTATAAAAATACTACTCTGATGATCTAACTGTCTGTGGTGAAATATTTTCTTAATGTAAGCAGCCGAATGACAGGGAGGAGGGTGCCACATGTTAAATTCAAGTCACATCCTCTTAGGAAATAAAATGAACATAAGCAGCAAAGGATGCTCAACCTAAATGTCCCACCAGCTTTAGCTACCTTAAAGGACACCTAGGATCTTCTTGGAAAAATCAAGTTTTCACAAAAACACTATCAAAACTCATTCAAGCTCGCCAAATTATTTTAAAAATTTAATCTAATCAAGTATTGTCCAATTTGGGAAAGCTAGAAGTAAGGCTTTCCAGAGGGCACCCTTGGTGGACTTTAAGTCTATAAAAGGGAGAAACTGGGAAAAAAGGCAAAAAAAAAAAAACTACAGCATTGAAACAAAAATGTAAATGAATTCTGCTGATCTGATAATGCCAACCACCACAGCGTGCAATAGGCCACACACTGACGGGGGAGTGGGTCTGGGTGATGAGGGGGGACCCCTGGGATCCAGAGCGTCTTACCATTAGTGGCGCTGCTGGCAACAAGCGAGCCCATCTCTGGCATCCCCGTTTCACAAGAAATTTGACGCATAATAATTGCGTTTATGAAGTTGGCCGCAGTCATGGTGGTCTTACCGAGTGATCGGAGCTCTTGTTCTTGAATGGACATCTGTTTGTTTTGAGTCTTTTCCCTACTAGGTGTACCGCTTTCTCCACGGCCAGGAGGGTTGTCTGACTGCAGAGGCAGTAGGTGCTGGGGACGGCCTGAAGCAGAGGTATAAGATCCGGGGTATAGTCCACCTGGGCTGGGGCTGGACAGCTTGGGGTCAGATTTACTGGATGGGCCATGCTGGTCCTGAAAATGTTTGGGTAGACCTCCCCTGTTTTTGCCTGCATCGCGACTCTGCTCTTTGGGTGCATTTAAATCCATGGCAGTTGGGTAGGCCTCAGAAAGCACACCTGTCCTTTGGAGATGGCTAGGGTAAGCTTGGTAGTGGGATGACCCTGAGGGCATGGACCTAACAAAGCAAACACATTTAAAAAAGCGAATTGTATTTATAAAAACAAACAAACAAACAAACAAACAAAAAGCGCGTACAACCATTTATCTGTTTATTCAAATTTTCTGTGTTAAAGTTCAGTTTACCGTAACACAGATGAGCCGGAGTGTTCGTTGACAGAAAGACTTTTCCCCCCAGTGTGCAGGACACTTGGCCTCTGCTGGACGTTTTCCTGGGTACGAGGCGACACTGGGGAGTGCTGGTGGCTGTGCGGCTGGGACGCAGGTCTTACGCTGCTGCTGCTGCTTGACAAGCTGTGCTCTGTACCTAAGTAGCAGAAACAGACTCGTATAACTTTGCAAATTCCAAACTAGATTCGTAACTTAAATAAAAATGAAGAACACCATATTCTCCACACCTGGTCGCCAGATGGGGGCATGCTCCACATTTCCAATAGAGCCGCCCTTGTCTCTCTCACGCTCTCGATCCCTCTCTCTCTCCCGGTCCCTTTGCCTTTCGCGGTCCCTCTCGCGCTCCCTTTCCTTTTCCCGATCTCTCTGACGGTCCCGTTCACGCTCCCTCTCCTTTTCCCGTTCCCGCTCCCTCTCACTTTCACGCTCCCGCTCCCTGTCACGTTCACGGTCTCTTTCACGCTCTAAAGATGAGGCCGTGCCTTGCATTTTGCTCATGTGTGAGGAGCCAACTGCACATGCAAAAAAAGGGAGAGAAAGAGAACTTTAGAAATAAAAAGAGTGCAACATATTTATTGTGTGAGTCTGCTTGAGTGAAATTAACTGTACCGGGTGAGATGGGAGAGGTGGTGTAAGGTCTGCCAGGGAAGCCGGTGCTCGTCCCAGGGATGTAAGGGATGCGATCCACTGTCCCTGGAGAGGGAGGGACCAGTATGTGTGATACCTGAGAAAGATCGATGATCCCTAGAGGACAGAGAAGGGTCAGCTGATTACAGGGCATAAAAATAATGAGAGGCTGTCAACAGTCATGCAAATGTTTTATGAGGGAATGTGATATTTATATTTATTAAATCTGAAATGATGGACTGACTATGTGAAATTCTATATTTCTGACAGATAAATGGGAAAGCAGAAGCAAATTACTAAAACATAAACCCTTAATAGATTCTGCTCTAGTGTTGTAAGACAAAGTAATAAATGAGTCAAGATGTGTTCCTTCAATGCGTTATATTGGAAAATAGTCTGACTGGCAGCTCCCTCAATCATCCTACATGACAAATTTTCAGCAACCACTAATGCAGTTCAGTTTTTTTCTATTATATTTATTTGTTTTTGTAGGAAAATCGTGGAAAATGCCATAATAAAGGACAATAAGACTCTCCCACAGAGTGTGATGACAAAATCAAATGCTGCTTTATTACTGTACATCAGCTGACTATAAATAAACTGTCCACCAAACTGATTTAAATAACTCCGAGCATGAACAGCACTAACATTAAATTTTGGCTTGCAGGTGCTTCTATTAATAACAACCACCCTGCTGTTGTTTCATACTCCTATTTGTATTCGTAGTGCAGGTGCAGCACACTTGACTGCACTTTCAGTTAGTGACTGCCCTTACCCCGAGGAGGGTAGGGCAGGGGGACAGCCTGGTCACGTGATGGAATGCCCCTCATGATGTCAGATGAGCGCTGTGCAGCCATGGCAGCAGCTGCGGGCCACTGATGCATCTGCTGAGAAGTGATATAGTCGTTGAGCAGCGTCTGCCGGTTCTCCAGGGCGGCGGTGTCAGGAAAGCCACGGATGATGTAGGGGTAGTGGGGAGAGTATGGAGCGCCGGAAGCAAGGGGCCTATGCAAGTAGTATGCTGCTGTGTATAAACAAGAAGATGATCTATCAGGAAGTCACTCAACTTGGAGTAAAACTCTCATCACATTATCACACAAATGCCTTGCAGATGATTAAACTGTTCTCTAATGAGGATGGGGGCAACATGTACACACTATAATGGACACAGTACCTGAGTCGATTGGGATACTACGACCCATTGCAGCAGGATCAAAAGCTAAGGAAATGTGACGGTACATTTCATGTCCCAGACTCGGAAACAGGGTCTGCTGATCTGGAAGAGTGGAAAGTGGTGATTTGGTGGTAGTCATCTCTCTGGGGGTTGGTGTGGCTTTACGCTCCTGAGTCAGATTCTTACTGGAAACTGGTGGGGGAAATAAAAAACAAAAAAAATTAATAGGAAACAGAATAATTTTTAGTACAGAACAACTCTTTTACATGCCTGTCACACATATACACGATTTATGCATTTTCATATACTTCTTGATTCTTTTTTCGTTTAAATTACAAACTCTCAATCATTTTAGCATGTGATATACTTACCCTCATGCTGCCTTTGACCTGCCTCCCTGGACAGTGGGGAGCTACGATGTGAGGATCCAGGGTAAGGTGTCCTTAAGGCTCCTTTATCATCGTAGCCCACTGGGCTGTGATGGGCTTTGCCACCCTGCTCTGACCCCAGCGTCAGTGGAGAAGAGCGCGATATGGGACTAGCTGTACTGACCACTGCACTGGGGCGCCCTTTAGGTGCGTCTTCATATCGGCTTCTCTCAGTACGCATCTCCAGGTGTGACTGTGTACCGTGGTAGGGACTGCCCATGATGGAGCGGACATCATGACGTTTCCCTGAACTAGCCACCTCCTGCTTCATGGACGATCCCTTCAGAGACCACAATGGGAATTAACTCAGTTAGCAAGCATGAAGTGTTTGATTGTCTCTACACGTGTCATTAGCATTATCTTTAGTGTGTACCTGTACAATGATGCCCTCCTTTCCAGGCTGTCGGAGCTCTTCCCTGGGAATGAGGTGGATAGAGCGCCCAGCCTCCTTCACTATGGTCTCTCGGCCTTTCATAGAATCAGACAAAGAGCCAGGCCCACGAGGTGGGGGGCTCTCTCTTTTCATCTGTTTAGGTTCCCTCCTCATGTAGTTATCCTGATCTAGATGACGAGGTATACCTGAAATTTTAATATATGACTATTATTGATCTTCAAACAAGAGCAGGAAGCCTAGTGTTCTCATTTCTTTTCATAATTTAGCCATACGTGAGCCAAAGGATAAAGAAACATGAGCGACAGACACAAAGGTTTTATAAGCTTAGCTGAATAATCTGGGGTTCGAGATCTGCTTAATTTGCTGCTCTTTAGGCAAATAACTTCAGGTCAGCTAGCACTATCCATTTCTTTGTAAAGGAAAAAACAACAGAAAAATGTGGCTTTCAGTTCACTGGAGGGAGCTCTGGGAGTGGAGTCAGATGAAATGAGAACACGGACTACATCAATCAATAACCTGTTACGCCTTTAACCATGCACCATCACAAAACCAATGGTGACTGGTAAAGCAGCATCAGTCTTTTCTGGGGTCGCCAAAAACACAGGCTACATTAACATTCTCCTTTAATGTATGTTCTGCTTGAGGACATTTTTTAAGTACTTCACCAGGATGAAATGAGAATTCAAAATAAAATCTCGTTGGAAGTAAACCGCTTGCTACCTTGTGAGATGGAACCACGGATGTGATGAGAGTCCTTGTAAGAGGCATGGTGGGGACTGTCACTATCATGAGGCATGGCTCGTCCAATCAGTCCTGAGGTGGAGGGACCAAGGAGGGAATGGTAAGGTGTAAGACTATGGTGAGTTATTTCATAAACAATCAAAGTCAAACCTCTATATGTCATCTGTTACCTTCACAGTTGGCAGCAGACAACGATTCCCTCATAGGCAGTCCCCTCGAGATGCCTCCTTCCATTACATCATAAGGACGCTTGAGGCCCAGGATTTCCCCAGACTGCCCTCCACCTCGGCCCTCATCTTTAGGAGTCTGGGATGCTGAGCCTATAAATGACAAAGATCTCAGTAAATATACTGACAGTATTTCTTAAGGTATGTGCAATTTGAATCAATATTATTTCTAAGATTAACTAAAAGCAACACAGCAAAAAGTAGGACAATACGGCCAAGTGCTACTTACGATCATATGTAAGAATGTGCCCACTAATGCCCTCATAGAGCACATGTCCTTTAGACAGGGCCTCATCGCGCTCCCTCTCAACTCGGCTGGCACTGTCCTCAGTCATTAGTCGCGCTATGGTTCCCTTATAAAGCGAATCAGCCGGCGTCCCCTGTGGAAAACAAAAAGAAGAAATGAGACCTGTACTTTGTACCATCAGTGTGTTGTAACAGAGAATCAAAAAAAAAAAAGAAGTCTGATTAGGATTTTGATATACAAATGACAGTGAAGCCTGACAGCAGACAACCTTGACTACAAGCAGACTTGGTTAACAATCCTCATTTCGGTAAAACTAAACAGTGCCAACGTCATAACAAAAAATGTTACGGAAATGACAAACTTTACATCACGAGTGTTAAACTGTTATTTACAATTACTCCACTAATTAAAAACAACAAGAAAAACAAGTGAACAAACATCTATGGAAATTTAAGCTGACTGTTCTTGAGTCTAATCAGACTCAACTATGTCAAAGAAGGAAAACACTAAGTTAAAAATAAGTACAGCTTGAGGTTAAACATTTCAGAGGAATCATCAAGTGAACCCACTCACACAACTTGAGTCACGTCACTAAAGTGGACATGAAAAGTAGTAGCTTAGGGAACATTGTTACTGTGTTGCTTGCAGCTTTTCCAAGAAGACACTGAGGAAGGACGAGGCCAGACTAGCATGGTTTCTTATTATAGGATCAGATGGCGCTGACTTAAGTTACCCGCACCTACCGTTTAAGAAGAGGCATCAATGCTATATGGATTCGTGCACTGAACAGTAGCCTGCACACTAAAAAGGTATCCCTCTAACAATGGAGATGTTACACTTTCAGCCATCTCTCCTTTTACTAATCCACAACAGCAGATAGAAGCCAGTATGGCAGCTGGATATGATATTACAGTGGGCATATCAATGACTGGTTTTGCCCGCGCCTAGAGTAAATAGATAAAGTAAAGAGGGAACAGATGCGGTACATTGTGTACCTGTTGCTAAGGTGACGGGCCCACCCAGAGCTGCAGTTATGTCACAGCACCACGGAAATCCACCAGCCTTATGACCTCTAACCAGCTCTGCTGCTCTCGTTTCCATCAAAAGGACAAAGCTCAGACGCATGAAGGCTGCTAAAATTGACTGTGGCAGGTATAAAGACATAAAGCCTTCAACTTTATGAGCAGAAACCAGTGATGGCATCAAAATGAACCAATGAAGTACTGCTAACAATGCGTGGCCCGTCAGTGTATGAGCTGTACATGCTGCTGTCACTATGAACCTTGACTTAATTTAACAGTGTTAGTTTCAGTTCAGTATTACAAGGGGAAATGGTGAGCTAGGGCTGGGCAATAAAACAATAAAGATAATTATTGCAAAAAAATTCTCCCCTACAGAAATATGAGACATGGTCAATATTAACCTCCTAAGACCCGAACTCTTCCACTACATGCTTTTTTAATTTTTCATTGATATTTGGACATATTGGGGCCCGATGAATGTAAAAACAAAGAATTACCAGGTTTTTTTTTTTTTGCCTTATTTTTGTTTTTAAGAAAAATGAGAGCCACATATGAGCATATTCGTTTAAAATCTTGATAGAACAGTAGCAGTATAATGTCCTCATAAGTGGATAATCAGGCCCTTGTAGAGCAAAATTCAGTATTTTGGTCTAAATAACCCAAAATGTGATGGCCACATATGTGGACACCAGATCCTAGGAGGTTAAAGTCAATAAAAGCCAATTCATGTTTTGAGATATAACACGAAAGGGTCAATGACATCAATCATGTGGTTGGAATTGAGTTGGAGCCAGCATGCACCTTGCTAGGTGGAGGCAGTGTCAAAAATGTGTGACATAACAAGACCGTGGGCTGTTGTTGGCCCATCAGTCAGAAGGAAGAGCAAAGTTTTAACATACAAAGACTCCTGCAGAAGCCGTCTTTGCTTTTCATGTTGTATTTTTTTCCCCCTATCTTTGATTTTCTCGAGATCTCTGCTGTCACTCCTTTCCCTTTCCCAGCCTGTTTATTAACAAATCGGCATTCAACCAATGCACAGTGTCATCTATGTCGAGCAATGTGCAATTGAGATTTTGGAGGACTGCACAGGAGTAGCGCCGCTTGAAAAGCACTCTCCTTATATCTTCACTTAGGAACAAAAATGAACTTTTAAGCTTGACTTAAGAAACTGATTTGATTTAGATCCTAGCCGTACGTGCTAGTTATGATGTCAAACAAAAGCAGGTCACTTCTAAACCTGCATACTGGGGAATTATTTATAAGCGTGTTCAGTGAATTTGAAAGGTTGCTCGGAGGTTCCTCGAAAAGGGGAAGAGAACAGTTTTCCAGTTGTGTTGTAATGCACAACTCAAACTAGAACAGAGTCAGCAGAATATTATTAACAAACACGAGGATTGCCCCACCCAACAAACTGTACATATGGGAGACTGTTGCAACGAGAGTTGTAACAGTGGTCAGGGATTATCTGTAGGCTACATCATCAAACCAACAGCCTATGAGTATTTTCAGTGGAAACAACAAGAACCTTTACATGAGTAAAATTCTTTGGAAAATACAAATAAGCCTGTTGTTATTTTCTGAATAGAGTTTGTCTCTCCACTTTTGTACCAATTTTGAACTTTATACTGGAGCATTTTTAACTCCAGTATAGCAGCTATATTACAAGGACTACTTCAGCGGTCAGCACTCACCTGAGTAATGGAGCCGCCTCGATAGGGAATTGGGGAATCAGGATGCAGTCTGGTCCCTGGGATGCCTTTAGTGATACTACCCCCCTGAACAGCTGAAATAGACGCTTTAAGGACAGTAAGAGAGAGACAGCTGTCACTATAATCCAACATGTAAAGTCACATTAAGAGTAAAAAAGAGGAATGCATTTAACTGGAAATAAATATTTGAAACTGTTTTGCAAGACCACCCGAAAAGAAAAAGTTGAAGCATCACCGAGTACAATCACTTCTGCACATACAGATTTGGGCAGTTTCTCTCAATCTTCACATTTTCCCAACATCAGTGAACTCAACTACCCACTGACTTTATAATAAACAGATAGATGAATGACCAGACAGAGAGAGATTGAAAGTCTAGCCTAGGTTACATTCAGTACATTTAGAAAAGTCACTCCAATTTGGTGTGTTGGAATAAAAAGCAAGTCATGATTTGACTTTGTTCAGAATCTGTGGCTTATTGCTTGTAATCAGTATGGCAGTAAAACAGTGGGAAAAGACAGAGCACCCACCACGTCCAGCAGCACTATCATGAGATGGCCCTTGGGCTGACAGGTTATCAGCTTGGGAGGACGAGCTGTGAGGGGACAGCTGTTCCTGCTTTACTATTGGAAAACCACCTGCTATATATTAGATTACAGAGAGAAAAGAGAACAAAATGAATAGGGACAATTTTATTATCCTTTATTTATCCAGGTAAAAGTCTCATTGAAAGTAAAATCTCATTTTGAAGACAGACCTTGCTGAGAGGGGCAGGGCACAATAATGAGAGAGTATCAATCCCCTCAGCCAGATTTACTCACCCCCTTTCCTCTGATCCATCCAAGGCACCCCCATCGGTGCGGAGGGCATCTTCCCATGGTCCAACCCATGAGCTGGGCTGTGCAGCTGTACTGGTGTGCCCTGTTTATTTAATTAAAAAAAAAATGTACATGGTCATAAGAACAATATGTAGGATCACTGATCAAAACAATTACATGATTTCTACTCTCAAACTATGTCTACTTAATGTTATTGGTGTGGTGCTGTACCTGTGTGATAGAGCCTCCTGGCTTGGAGGAGGAAATGAGAGGTGGAGGCTCTGGCATTGTGAGCGGTCTCACTGCTGCTAGCCTTCCGCTGTCCTGCGGCAGTGAGGGGTGGCCTGATGGCTGGAACGCTGGCAGATGGATGAGATTGTGAGAATGAGATTTGAGCAAGTGATCTTTAGACAAAGGCTTAAAAAAGCAAGTTAAGTAGACATGGATTTGCTAAATGTTCTCACAGTACAGATAAAAGATTATGTAAAGCAGCGGTCCCCAACCTTTTTTGCGCCACGGACCGGTTTATGCCCGACAATATTTTCACGGACCGGCCTTTAAGGTGTCGCGGATAAATACAACAAAAAAAAACTTAGTACCGGTACCGAAAAAAAGAAGATTTATTCATAACACACGTGAAAAGACCCAGGAAAACTGAGTTAACGATAAAAACAATAACAAAATAATGCTGAAAACCGATAAAAACCCTGAAAACCATACATTTCAGACCTGAGCCTCAACTCTCGCGGCCCGGTACCAAACGATTCACGAACCGGTACCGGTCCGAGGCCCGGGGATTGGCGACCGCTGATGTAAAGAGAATGCTCACAGTTGAAGTGGATCAGGTGCTGGTCATGAGTGCTCTTGGACATGTCTCGTGGGGACACAGGGTAAGGGGATAGAACTGAGCGCCCCAAGTTAGAGGTCCTCGGGTCATCAGGGCCGAGCGCCTGCTTCTTAGCTTCACTGTGTGGAGAGAATGCTGGGGGCTTTTCTGCAACAGTGACACACAAGGAGAGTCAGGACCAGGTAACAACACACAAATGGTTATCCACTAATCCAAGAAGTTGTCCTTTGGCCATTACCAACACACTACTGTCCACACCTTCATCAATGTCATCATAAGAATTACAAAGAATATCTCATGCTACCTCCCAGACAGAGTGACACGCCACTGAATTAGTACCCTTACTTAATACAATCACACCATCCCAGTGCTAATATTTAAAGTGAAATCCAGCTGAGGAGAAGTTAAAAGGCAATGGATGAACCTACTTAATCCCTGCAGGAGGAGCAGCAACTGCTTCTCATTGCTCTGAATGGACATAAGCACACCACAGATCATTAAATCCTCACAGCATTTTTACAATCATCAAATCCTCAATTTTTTAAATCCCCACAAGCGCTTACTTGTAACTATTACTTCCCCCACACGGTGATTAAATGCTGAAAAATATCAACAGATATCAGCTGGAATACATGTTTATATCTGTCCTTATGTTAGCATAAATGAATGAAAAAGGACTTTGGAGTTCACAGCTGCCGTGCACATGCTGGTTATAAAAGACCTCTCTTTGTGTGGACCTTTAAAAGTCCATTCAACAAGCTTACAGTAACTGCACTGAACCAGACTGTATTCCCTTTTGGGTCAATAGCAATACCAGATCATTTATCAGTTCCCTCTCCCTGAGTGTCCCAGAAACACTTCAATGCCCTAAACACTAGAGTACACAGACTCAAGGTTACAGGATGTAGCAAGGACCAACAAAGTAAAACTAGATCAAATGCAACTAGAACAGCATGTTGTACTGCATTTTCATTAACCTCATTTTAAAAAAATAATTTCATTAATCCTCTAATCTTGTTTTCATAAAACACCAAGCTGTACACCCTGCAGTGGAGTGACACTAAGGTCATACAGAACAGTGATAAAAAGGATCCAAGCTGAAAACCTAAAACTGTGAAGAACTTGTGTTTGCAACTTCAGCAGGTAAATATAGTTTCTAGGCAATAAGAGAAGTTTCTGTTGTGATGGAGGTGTGCATACCATCCTTTTCGCCGGCAGAGGGGCTGCGCGGGCGAACACGTGGGCTGTTGCTGTGCAGAGCCTCCCTGTCTCTGTCTGCCTGTGGGGTATAAGGCTGCTGTTTGCCTGGCTGGCCTGGAAACTGCTGCTGCTGTTGCAGCTTGACCTCCTGGGAGGACTCCCCATGAGCCATGGTGATCTGTTGCTGGTACAGTGCCAAAGCGTGGGGAGGCAGTAATGCCTTCCCACTCTGCTGACCCCCGTGCACCGAGGCTTCTTGCATCTGCACACAGGGCGACAAGAAAATAACAGAGTTACATATGTGCCACACATATAACACAAGCCCACTCGTATCCAGGAGCTGACATATGGTTAGCCACATAAAATATCTGATAAGCATGTCAGCTAAGACGCATCTCTTATTTCTTGACAAGCTAAAGTTTCCCTAATGGTCATTATCTCATTTCTCGTTATCCTCCATCTGGTTGGCTTATCTTATACAGTTATGACTTAACAATTTCACCTACTATGGTGTTAGCCTTGTAAGCAGAGAGACTTTGATAGGATTCACAACTGCAATGAAAGATTGTGAGTGCGTGAGTTCATCAGTTTTATGTGGCGAAGACACTTTCAAAGGCTGGGAAAGCCACGATGCTCTTCACTTAAAAAGGGACATAAAGGTTTATAGGGACACAATAACAATGCTCATTATCAAGTCCATATGTGTATTCTTGGATTCTAGCAAAGTAGTTCTGCATGAGTCATATTAAATAAAAAATAAATAAATACATAAAAAAGATCTGTAACTGTTTGAAACAAGAACTAAAGCTAGCAACTTTAAAATTAGCAACTTACAATAGGTGGTATAGCAGCTGCTCTCTGTTTCAGCTGTTTCAGATCCATGGGCTTCTGTAGTGGGGATGATATGACCCCATCATGAGTGTAGTTCAGTAGGCTTGGCCGTGGAGACATCATTCTACACAGACGGACAGAAATAAGTTAGTGGGAGTAAAGAAGAGGTTGAAAAGAAGAGCATACAAAATCACTTGTTTAGTTTTTCCACCCACTAATGTAGTAGGATGTGTGCTGACATAGCCTGAGACCATGGGAAAAAAGTAAAGATTCATATTGATGTATTACACATCTGTCAAAAAACACAACAGACTCTGAATTACAGTTAAACACACAAATCGATGCACAGAACCACGCATGCACGCCCCCCCCCCAACCCTCCCCCTTTTGTTTGCCTTGGCAGAGGGCAGCATTTCCCTGAGCTCTGCCAGTACATGCAGTCTGCTGTCATGGAAAAAACTGAACAAGTACCGTGCAAACACGACTAATCAGTTCTCCTACGCACTCTGACACCAATTTCTAGCGGCCTCATTCACAGACACATACGACATGTTTTATTAATATTATTATTTAAAAAAAAAAATAATATATATATATATATATATATATATTATATATATATATATATATATATATATGTATGTGTGTGTGTACATGAACACACAAACACAGCTTGCCAAATATGGCTTCAATGCTGTACAGTGTAGCTAGGCAACTACTACCACTTCAAAGCCCTCACTGCTTTGTGTTCTTATGTCTGCTGTGTCAGAACAGAGATGTAAGATACCCAAGAAAACTCAAAAACCAGAAGATTTTTTACAACAAAGCTCTCAAACTGGTATAACGATGTAAACAGGGGAAATAAAGCAGGGAAGGGATACACTGATCAGCACTCAATCTGCCTAATACTGTGTAGGTCCCTATTATGCCAGAACAGCTCTGAGGCCTTTGGAGCTTGAACATGGCATCATTGTGGGTATCTTATGACTGCATGGCATTGGTGATATTGGAGCGTTTGGGTGCTGCTGTGGTATTAGGCCACTGTGCCTCATACTTTTATATGCAACAGATGTTTGATAGCATCATTGTCTGTAGAGTTTGGAAACAGGCTCACTGTCCAGAGGTATTTCTTATATTCTCGAGATGGTTTTCTGATATGTTTTTTGCTTTCTGTTGGAGGACATTAAGGTACAGCCATTTTTGTTGATCTGCAACAGTGTTAGGTGGGTGGTAAATAGCAGTAAAAGTAATAACCACATAAATACCAGGGAAAAGATGTCCCTGTAAAATTCAGGGTTATGGCTATAAGCCTGGTCCTCTGATTAGTGCTGATGGTTCTCACTATGGGCCTCCTGCATGACCTCATCAGAACCTCAAATGTCCCTATTCTTGAGAACAGCTGCAGCCTGAGGGGCTGGTACTTTGGGAATCCTGAAAATGCAATGCTGGGGGAGACGCTGCCTGTGCTGCAACCAAGAGGCCTTGGCAGATGACAGAGGTGTCAAGGAAATCCTTTTTCCTTTGTCATTAGGGTGGGGAGCCCAAGCCAGCATGCCCGCCCCACAAGAACCATTAGCCCCATGGCTTTCCCAGTAGCCTATATTCCCACTTTCTGGAACTGGAGGACATTGTCGGATGTAACAAATATTTCTTCCCACATAGTGGTATCTGGTTTAGCTATCTTACCCTCTTCTGAAGGGATGTTGATCTTAGCAGCTGTGTGCTTGCACATGTCCTGTATGTTGCGCTATAAGGTAGACAGCGATGGAGGTTTAGTTGGTAGTGAGGGAGTTGGAAATTATAGTTAGAAGACAGGAGTTCTGAATCAGCTGACTCATCTCCATCATTGTTAGCGTCGCTTCCCAGGATAGCTCTAATAGAGAAAAGCCCTCACATCGTCAGTCTGCCACCAGTGATGGGAAAGAATTAGCTACTGGCTCAGAGTGTGCTTCTGCATAAAAGTCCTTAGGTATTAGCACTTTTCCCTGTGGCAAAGCTGCCTCACACACCAAAGGGACACTGCCCTGCAGGTTAGCCTGGTGAGCGAGCCTGCAGTGGCACAATTTGTGTCATAAAGGAATACAATGGATACAGATTTGGGGGGAGGTCAAGGCAGCCTCAGCAGTCTACACATGCCACACAAACTGGGTGTGTATCTCTTGTTGCTGCAGAGAGACAGATTTCCAACTTCACTCAGGTTGTTAGCCATAGACATGCTGGTGGGCCTGACAATCGGCTAAACAGCCACCAAACTAATGTGCAGGGAAGAATACTGCTGTTCTTTGGGTAGCGCAGACTAAAAAGTAGTGCTACTTATTTTATACAGTATTGCTACCTAATAGGGTACGGCTAGAGCCGTTAGCTTAGTACCCAAAGAACAGCTGCCAACAGGCTTCCGTGAGAAGAGAGAAGAGGTTTTTGAATGACATCTCACGCTATGTCACACCCCATTATGTGGGTGTCACTGAGAAAGCCTATAGCAGGTGGCGTAATAGTATTTCAGCTTCTGATGAGGTCAGGGAGGAAGCATTACCCCATAGTCATGAAACAAATGCGATGAAAGAGAATACTGCATTGTAGAGAGAGCATCCATCATATTCACTTCACGGGTCACAGTTTTAATGTTGTGCCTGTATAAAATTGTTGCTTTAATTTAAACAAATGGGAAATTACCATTTACCATTATCCACTATATCCATTGCTACGAACCCTCACCTGTTCTTATCTGTGTTGTCCGTCTCCTCCACCTCATCAGCACTGCAAGTGGCACTAGAGTCACTGTCTCCATGGGAGCAAGTTTTGGCCGCATGGTCCTTCTTGGAGTTCTTGTTGGAGCTCTTGACTTCCTCCGTGCCTGCAGTGGGAGGTTTTGTATCTGTGGCATCACTGGGCGGTGTTGGCTGCAGCTGGTCTCTGTTGGGCTCCCCTGTTTCAGTCTTAATCTCCTGTTTAATGGAATCTGCATCTTCCTTGACTGGAGGTTTCTCATCCCCTGCCTGACTTGTGTCTGCGAGGTCCTCCTTCTTGTCGCCAGTGTTTGAGCTGCCCTTTGCCTTGCTTGAGGCTTCCTCCTTAGCCTTGCTGTCCTCAGACGAGTGCGGCGAGGGCAGGCTCTCCGTGTCAGAGCTGTTATTGGCTCCACCTGGCAGGGACACAGGGTTCGAAAGGAAACAAATTAGAGGTTTGTACTACAAATGTTTTATCTCCTTCACCTTTTTTCTTCCATTTTTCCTCTTATCTCTTTCTGCTAAAGAAGATTTTTCGCAGTGCCAGTCTTCTGCCTAATCAGGTTTCACTGTACAATAAGGGGAAAACAAAACCAATTGGAATGATGGATGAAAGCCCCCAGGACTTCAGTGCTCTATTGAGGAAGTACAGTCTACGCAGTACACTTCTGTCAACAAACTACAGCAACGTTTCATGATCATTTTCCCATTTGTAAACCATGATTCTTTAAGCCAACGTGAGCTGCTCAAACACTTTTTTCTGTCATATGAAACGATGCCACTTTATAAAGTTTGTGTAGAATAAAATGCAATTTTAAAAAAACAACTCTGGCATAAATTCTACATTTACAACCATTAATAACTAAACTGTAAGAGAGTTATTAAGTCTATGTATGCAATCTAGTTTGTAGTTCGGCTGTAGTTGTCCTGAACATTCAATGCAATACAAACAACTTTGTAGACAAAATAGAAGGCTTAAAATCAAGGCATAAGGATTGATATACCTTCTCCATCCTCGGGGGCTTCTTCTTCATTGCAGCTGGCTCCTGAACCCTCCATCTCCTCCTCCTCTGCTGGATATGGGGCATTAGTTTCCTCATTCTGTGAGGCTTTGCCTCTACGACGGGCCTTTCGTTCCTTCTCCTGGGTGAAAATAAGCCAAAAAAAAAAAAAAAAAAAAAAAAACTCAACAGAAGCAATCTTACAGTATAACATTACACAAAGTATAAAATTCATTTTATTTTTTTTAAAGGCTTGCGGATGTCATTTTGATTACCGATTTCATTTTATGCTGCTGCAGAATTTCATCCAGTTTCTGCCTCTTCTTGTAGTTGAAGTAGAAGTTCTTGCACTGTGACACGGTCTTTGATCCCACCATCTTGGCGATGGCGGACCAATTCCTACCATACTGGAGAAGGCCTAGAATTAACAGATGGACAGGCAGAGGGATTAGGATAGACATACAGAGACAGACGTGTGGATGTGACCCTTGATGATCTGCTATTCTCTCTGCAGCTGTAAAAGATGTAAGCTGTGCAAAGTGCACTGCTTGTGACGATTGTAAATTTAATGGTTATTTTGGCTTATATACTATCAACGCCATCTCTAATCTCTTCAAGTGTACAGCGTTGCCATTGTAAATCAATAGCCAGGAACATCCGTCTCTATACAGCTGTCTAAACTGCGGCACAGCCTGGGAGTTTTACCCACAGTGTAACATAGACACGGTTCCACTCTGCCAGGAGCACCATGGCTTATTAACATAGATTTCCAAAGTACAGACAGAGAGTGAAAGAAAGAGAGAGACTGATAAAGCAAAAAGGAGAGGGACGTGCTAGTGGTAGGTAAACCGCCAGTCAAACCAATGACATCACTAACTCACTCCACTGGGGTCACTGTGTGTCATATTCTAACTGACTTTGATGTGACCCACTTCCAAGAAACCCAAGTCCTTTACTCAGTCAAGCACATGATTGGGCCTTACACAAGAGTCTACAGGCACCCGCTGGGCCAGGGCTATGATAGATCAACCTGTCATGAAACACACAAGAATGTAGGGACGCACACATAAAGTGTGTATATGTGCTATAGTAAGATATGCAGAGAGCATTCAGTGCATAAAGACAAGTAAATGAGAAATACAGATAGCATAGAATCTGCTCCAGCGCCCCCCTCCCAGAGTCTGCTGTTAGCTAAAAGGCAGCTCATTAACAGTGTGTTGTAAGAGGCTTAGCTTACACCACCCACTTGTTTCCTGTGCCAGCCTGACAGGTCCTGGCAACAGGACAGCTCTCAAAAGGTTGCTGGGGGCTGGTGGGTGGGAGGGGTGTTATTAACAGGCACAGAGCCAACACGTCTTGGGATAACCTTGGCCATGGGTTCAGAGGTCTCTGCATCTCATCGCTTAATGGAGGTAGTAGGACGACACGCAGAGCTGCGAGCCAAAGGAGAGGAAAGGACAGCTGTTTACAGCCCCATCAGTTCAGCTCTCATAATAATCTGAAAGCCTGAATCTGATACCAACACTGGATTGAGTAGTTAGTGATAAGACTATTACTAAGTAATATCTGCAATAAAAACTGATCTATTAGTTGTTTACAAGTCTCATTTCCTGGAAATGTTTCATAAGACTTTGTGTACAGAGATACTTATAACACTGATATTACGACACATAAAATGCCACCTAAATATGAAAAAGTTTTTTTTAAAACTGCACAGTCGTGTTTCACTCGCACAATAGTTGCAATTGTATTAACATTAGCACCTACATAAGTGCTGTGTCACACATACAGTGTGTAAATGTAATTTTAAAAAAAAAATCTCTAGCTAAAAGGGCTAGCAAAGCTATGAATCATGCAGAAAAAGTGGAAAGACCTATAATATTCACTGTTCGGCTGAGAATTTATTAATACTATTATAAAAAGAGCTGCCATAACAAGCTTGGGTGATCTTCATGTCTGAGCTTCTGGAGTCTAAAAGTGGCAGCGCACCTTGAAACTGTTAAAGTGGAAGAGGTTTTTCAGCTGAAATATTCATTGCTGCCACCAAAGGTATTGCTAGAAAAGCTTCTCCCAGGAAGAAAAGACTGGTTGGCCTGACTCGCTCCATGAGGACTGAGACACGTGACTGCTGATACCTAATAACCTTTTAAAGTCTGTGGGTGGGAGGGGGTGGACTGCCCTACAAGTCATACACCCTCGAAACTGATAAGAGTACACACAAAAATATATGCCTTCACACCAACCATGAAACAACGGTGGCATAAGAATAAGCACATTTATAGAAGTTAGATTAACTCTTCGCAGCATGCAGTGAAGCTGAAGTGCTAAAGAGTTCAATTTATTTACTGAAGGTCAAAGGTCACTTTGTGATGACCTCTAGCTATATCCAGTTTGATCCGCCACACGCAAGCACACAAACCACACAAAGCACAATCCCAATAAGTTATAGTTGGCTCAGGGCCTCAGTTGCTCAGAGCAACACACATGTAGCATACATCCAATCAGCTGTAAGAATACTGAAACAGGTGGTAGCCTCACACCCAATCAGGACATCGTATTTTCTTTAGCTCCTCCCAGATAAAGTCCAATCAACACCTGGTGCGGCCAGAAAGTGGTTATTCCTGTCTGTCACATGCCTGTCGCTCTGGTCGTCGTCTCGTGCCCCTGCTCTGGATAACGCTATCAGACGGTCTGATCTCTCGAGGGCCAGCAGGGAAGCTGTTCAGGGCTGGGCCTTCCGGATCCAGAGCAGAGGAGATGAAAACAGCTCAGTCTCAGTGTTCTTCTTGCCAGCTGGCTCGATACATGAGCCGGTGTCAGGTTGACATACTCTAAACCAGCACATGCTCCTGGCCTCTCCCCTCCTTTTCCCTCTCCCTCTGTCCTCCCTGTGCTTCGGTGAGTGCTGCTCTGTTCTTCTCAGTCGCTCCTCTCCCCAATGGCGGTCGCCTGGGAAGACTTCCACAGGAAAGTGGGACTGTGGGGCGGTTCTATGTGCTCAGCCTCTCTCTCCTCATCTGATCTCTCCTCTATCTCTCTTTTTTTCCCTCCCTCCCTCTTTCCGTCGGTCTGTCCCTCCCCCTACCTCACTCTGCCAGCAGGCACCGCGGCATGCACATACACACACATGCACACACAACCGCATGAGTGAGTACAAACTCTCTCTCTCTCTCTCGTTAATACTCTAGCACACAGACACAAACATACACTCGGGCAGTCCAAGAGTAAACAGAGAGAGAGGGGGGTGGGGGGGGGGGGGGGGGGTGGAGAGAGAGAGAGAGAGAGAGAGAGAGAGAGAGAGAGAGAGAGAAGCCTGGTGAAAGCGAGGAAACAGAAAGCAGAGCCACTGAGCCAGAGAGACAATGGAGAAAGGGAAAGGATATAGAAGTGGAGAGTAAGCACAGAGAGAAGAGTGGGGGCAGCAGGGGTGAGAGAGGGAGTTGATGTTGATACCATGAGAAAGCATAAAGGCTTTCACATTTTTCCTGACTGACCTGCTTTTCATCTTGAATGTGACCTCTCTAGTTTATAACAACACACAGTGAGAGGAGAGAGAAAGTGAGTGGGGGAAAGAGGCGCTTGCCAAATCTTCCACAGCTCTTGCCAATCTGGGCTGTTGCCATCTTCCCAACCGAGAGACAGAACGAGAGAGAGTTGGAGCAACGGCGGAGGAGAAAGGGAGAAAAGATAATATGGCATTCTCTACCTGCTGCTCCTTTAAATGGGTTCTTCCAGCATGCAGAGCTGGGCCTATTATCCAGCTGCCTGGCTGCCCGCACCCAAGCGAAGCCTGGCAGATTAGCACACTTACATAAATGCTGGCCAAGACTGGTACGCACTCCAGCACACACAGGCATAGCCTTTGCTACACATTACTTGCATGTGCCCACATTCACGTAGGCGTAGGGTGGTGGGTTTAAGACAGAGTTACAAAGCCTGCTCATCTCTTGTTTGAGGTGCCAATCTTTGACTGGGGAAGACAAGGGCGATCCATCTCCAAGTGTGGCCATGCCATCCTCGAAGGCACTGCTGGCTGGCACTGCCACGCAGGAATGGTGAGGCCCAGCCAGACACTATAAATGCCATTATTCAGATCTGGTTAGCTCAAAGGGATAAACACATTAGCATCAGGACACCTAAACCTCTTTAAAACATATACATGTCAAGCACCTGCTGCGGAAAAGCACCTTGACAAGCTTATTCAAAACTAAAGCGCAACTGAGGAAATGGGAGGACGGAGGTTGTGATCTTGGAATGTCTGAATTCTTGGAAAGGGAATCCCTTTTGACAGGTGTGGGGGTTGTTGCTAGAACTGATGATAAAACGACCTCCTCCTCCTCAGCCCTTGGTACTGTAGCTGGGGTTCTGTGGTTACATAAGCCCTTCACAGAAGCACCGCTCCCACAGAGCTGCCAGGCTAATCCTCTTGGATGGAGTGCCCCACTAATCCTACAGCAGGAGAATGGAACTGAAGACATTAACCAGGATTACTACACAGGACCGTGTTCGAGCCAGGCTAGTGCCAGTTATCACAAAATAACCTCTTAACACACAAACCTGCACAAACACCCAAGTAGCAATTTGCAGGAGACGGGACACAAAGCACAAAGCAGGTGCAGACTAAATGGGATTTTAATATCACACTGGAGCTTCTGATAGTTGTTTGCAAGGCACCTCATCTGCTGTTCAAAACATTCAAAAACAGGCCTGCCAGTCGCACAAAGCACAATGACACATCACCTATAAATTACCACAAAGCAGCCGCCTTGTGAAACCCAGTGAATCATGTGCAGAAGACCTAGCACTACAAAGAGGTAGTTGATCAACTTTGCCCACTATTTTAGAAGTTATCGAAAAAGGATACATTTATTGTGAAGAGTAAAGAAAGATCTTTATATGCAATGTCACTGCCAACACACACACACTCACCTTTTCTTGCAATATGTAAACGTGTCTTTAAAGCATAGTAAACATTACTGCAGGTAAAGGGCTCATTGAATCAGCAAATGAGGGTAATGTACTGCATATTAAAAAAACGAAACCAAAAAAAAAAAAAACCAACAACTTTAAAAGCATACTCAGAGAGTGCAGGTGCAAGGAAAACTGACAGAATGTCAGTGACCTTTATGAATCAGCCAGTAATCTTCAGTGAGAGACAATAAACAGCCGCATTCGTTAATGACTGCCGTATTCGCAGGGGTTGGTTGATAAGGGGTAGACTTTACAGCCTCCTTGATAAAATACAGGCTTGCCTTGACCCAGAGACACAGGGAAACGGCTCCAAAAAGCAGCAGACTCCGTTCAGGCAGACTGACATACACATGCATAGACATAACCTAGCAGCACGTGGTGGTTGCTACCACACCAACAGGAAGTCACAGCCACATCACTTGTCTATGCTTTCGAACAGTGCTTGAAGCTGATAAGTATTCTTTGCGTTGACGAGTTTATTATAATACATAAAACATGCAATAAAGCTACTTCACATGAGAAAAGAAAGGTGTCTTACCTTTTTTGGCAGTTTCCATCTCTTCTTCAGTCCAGCGAGAGCTCTCATTCATTTCAAGATTGGCTGTTAAAATTTTTTTTTTAAAAAGACAAAAAAAAAAAAAAGACAAAAAAGGAGAACCACCAAGTTAGAGAAGGCGGGAGGAGGTGGAGGGGGGAGTGGGGAGTTGTCACTATGTCTGTTAGGGAGTGACTGACGAGAAGAAAGACAGAGAGAAATTAAAGAAGAAAAAAAGAATAAGAGGGGGAGGGAGGCTTGAGTTGCTTGCTAGTGAAGCACTGCAGCATGGGTCGCTAGGGACTGTTTGTTTTAGATGGTGGAAGCAGGAAATCCAAGGAGAGAAGTCAGTTAATGATTATAGACATAACAACTGGCTTCTTTCGCTGCACAGGCCATAAGCCAGGCTGTCCCTGGCCTTCCATGACAGGACAGCGCAGCAGTAGTCTGCGCTCACGTGTCCTCTATATGGACCTGTGAAGGGCACATTGGGCCAGCTAGCACTTCTGCTAGCAAGGGAGCAAACAGTGGCAGGGGTGTGGCCGCTGACTGAGAGCCCCTACAGCCCGAGTCACCAGGGGATTCTTTGTGACTACACCTGCAGCATGTATGCACAAATGCTGAAACATCAAAAATGCCATCCTAGCCTGAAGCTAGTTTGTCTGTGTGTGCACAGCTTACACACCATCTGTTAGAACATGAAACAGAGCTAAGCAGGGGGACAGTGCTGACACACAGTCCTTTATTAATAGTTCATCTTTTGCCAATAGGATTTTGTGTGCGTACCTAATGCTGCCACATTTTACACCCATTACGATTTATTTTTTTTATGGTGTTTGAGTGACAGTCAGGCAAAAGTAATGAGTTTAAGACTGAATAAGACAACACGAATAACAGACAAAGGATCAACAGTGCACTCTTGTGGTACGGGACCAAAGACCACAACTAGATCAAAGGTGACCAAACTCAGTGCTGAGTGATGATGGCAAATATTTATCTGTAAAGATTCTCTCTTGTTCAATTGCTGTTAACAAATACACACAATTTATTCCTGCATGCCATCTTAATCTTTTACATCCAGTTAAAAATTATAGGGTTAATTTAGAATGATTTTGTAATAAAGTATGTCTTTACATCTGTATATAAGTCCAATAGCAATTTTATCATGCTGTTTACCTACATTGTTTTCTAAGGCTACAGAGTTCAGCGTGGCTTAAGTCATATGATAATTTGTTTTTTTTTTAACACTGAAAGAAGAGAGAGGAGAAATCTGCACCAATTTGCTGCAATGCAAGAGATACTGACCGAGCTCATTGTTGAGTGGCGGTGCTGAGGTCTCCTCTGCTTCGCTGGTCATAGAGCGGGTTATACGGCCCTTGCGGCGTCCCTGGCTATTGGCTGTTCGTCGACCCTTGATAGCCACGGGAGGCTCTTTGTCCTCTGCATCTTCTCCAGAGGTGTCGTCCCTGTATTTGGAAAATGTCAACAGAGTCAGCAAGAGAATGCACCGGGTTGCTGAATGGTCGGGTCTATTAAACGGGACATTAATTTCTGGGCAGCACTGTGAGGCACTGATAATAGTCTTTTAAAGAAAAAAACAAAACAAAACAAAGGTAGGGTGGGGGGTATGATTCAACAGCATAATGGCTTCAGTCTGAAACTGAAATCAAGTGTTTTATTGCAGAAGAACAGACTACAAGCATGATCTGTGGTGAGTTTTGTGCAGGCAAAGTTCATCACAAAATGATGACTCAAGATTTTAAAAAAAATGGTTCCAAATATTCATCAGGGATATAAATTGTATTTAATATTTATTGGGACTATAATAATTTCTGAAAAAAAAAAAAAATGCAAATGATAGGATGCAAATATTGAACAAACAGGAGCTGTGACACATTTCAATACTACAACGCTAAAAAACAGCAGGACCAAGAAAAAGCATCTCACTGAAGTAACACTGGGAAATTGTGGTACATTATTCAATATGTGGACAGAGAAGCAGGTAAATGAAACTAATGGACTGTTTTCTGATATGCAAAAATAATGACCTTATATGCCTGATGCAATTACTTGCGTGGGTATACTGTCCCAATCCTGGACACGGACATGTTTGTCCAAATGAGGATGGGCTAGGGCTGTTCGATATAACGATACATATCGGATGACGATATAAAAACGTCTATCGTTTCATTTTACGCTATCGTTTGTTTCGTGGGTCGCAAAATAAACTGTTTACAACAATATTTTTTCATCGTTTTGATGGTCACTGCAGTGGCTATATTCATTTCTTAAAGTTCTCTCTTTCTCTTATATTTTATATAACCACACTACGGACGGACAAGCGCCTGTTTTTATGCGTTGTCGTTAGCAACAACGACGGTAACACCATCGCGTGTCCGCTTGTTTATGTTCCACATAAACCTTTCACAATAAAGCCAAAGATCCTGTTGAGAATCACGTGAAAGAGCAGATTATTTCCGGATGAGAAATAAAAAAAAGAGTCGCCAGGTGCTAAAAAAATAAACCTTAGACTCAAACGTTAGAACAGGCTTTGCCCCGCACCACGCTGTGTAATAAATACTCAAAGTAAATAACAAAGAAAATGGCGGCCATTACAACTTATGTCTAAAAATGTATAGTTTCACGCATCTGTTAGAACACTTGACTACAGTTACATGACGCGCAGCTGGAAACACTTCCCGCAAGTCGAGCTGCCCGAGATTCACAGAATTTACAGAAAATATTACATTTTTGTGATTTATGTCGTTATCGGACGATAGATGTCTTATATCGGGATATGAGATTTTGGTCATATCACACAGCCCTAGGATGGGCAAAAATACCTCAGAATGAAACAAACTTCAAATCAAAAATTTGAACGTGTATGCAGACGCTGCTTTTTCCATTCTTTTTATTTCCAGGATAATTTATTGAGTGTCTGCACAATGGCATGCCAGGAGACAGCCACTGAATTTGAACCTTCTGCTCCTCCATTCATCTTCCCCCAGCTCCATTAATCTTGCTGAGGGGAGCTGGTGGCACACTAAATATAGGCAAGCCAGCTGTGCCAGGGGTGACAGGCAGGCAGCGGGGTGTGCTGGGAGTCACGGAGTCCCCTGGCCTCGCCTCAGAGCAGGCGGGCACCCGGCAACGCTTCATCATCATCATCCTCCTGCAGTCTGACACATCTGCAAATATGACCTACCATTGCTTGAAACTGCTAGAGTGTACACTCTCAGCTGACAACATAATATAGTGCCTAAATACACACGCAGAGGGATGGATTTATCTAATAATTTTCAGGCAACAGAATGCAATGAAATTCCTACCGTTTCTGCCTCATTCAGTGGCACCGTGCCTAAAAACACCCCCTCCTTCAACACTGCACCCAGCTAGGTTAATTACACGGCTTATTTTCCTCACCAAAAACAACTCAGACTAACAAAATAAGCACAGAGTTTTAAAAATGAGACTTTGTGCTATTTGCAAAGGGATGAACGTAAACAGGAAAACAGCTGCTCTACTAGGGAGAGCAAATGGAAGCTCAAAATTGCTGTAGGTGGAAAGTCTGGCTGGAGGTGAGGGAGAAAGAGCTCAAGGGTTACAGAATGATTGCATTTCCAGATCAACTCCCAATAGCCAAAAATTACCCCAACTCCATTTCCTGCATCCTGACATGGAACAATTCGAAAAATTGCGACTTGGAGAAAAAGATCAAGTAAGAAAAATTACTCCAGCTGTATGGGTTCACCCACTCAACTCCATCTTTTCTTTGAGCTGTCAGTGTGCTCTCAAATTTAAAGCTCCCAGTGCTAAAAGCTTGCTTGGATAGTTTTGACTTCTTTTTTTTTTTTTTTTAATTAATGGCAACTCACTTCATTCCATCTTCCTTGTCTTCAGTGTCATTTTTCTCTTCATCCCGCTCTGCCTCCTTCTCTTTCTCCTCCTTCTCCTTGTCTTCCTGGCTGTTCCGGTTCACTTGTTGTTGCTGCTGCTGCTGCTGCTGCTGCTGACCGTGCTGTGAGGAAAAAACACAACAATGAGGTGCCGTATTACAAAGATAATCCCAAGTAGTTTGGCAAAAACAAACAACCCAAAAATCTCCTGCAATTTGCACATCTTTGACGCACACGCTTCAGTGTGCAAACGCAGAGGCATTCAGATTTTGTCAAAATCCTGTGCATCCTGCCCATCAGATTAATATAAAAAGAAGCAGTCGGTGGTTAACAGCTTTACTTGAGTAGGTTACTCCAGTATCTTTCTAGCATTACTAACCACAATTTATCTTCTCCGATTTCATGCATGTTCTGCTTGCTTCCAAACAGCGAATGACTTAGCAATTTTGGTGGCAGAACCCAAGTCTGAGACTTCCTAGCCGACGGTGTCAGGCTGGCCTTTGTGGTGGTGTTTTTTTCTTGTTTTTTTAAACATAGAATATGAAACCAAAAAAAAAAAAAAGAAATTCCACTCTTCCTCATTTCTAAAACCTTGCTTTCTTTTATTGTTTTTTAAATGCATCTCACTTTACCTAAATGAAGATTTACGCAGCTTCAATTTTAGCATAGGCAAAACCAAAGAGGATGCGAAAGTTCCGAAATTACAGTAGCACATTTCTTGCTCCTGAAGCACCCAGAACCACTTCCTCAGCAGTTTCCTGCCTGTCTGGGCTTTTATGGTTAGAGTTCACAGCACTGACACGCAGCTCGACCTAAAACCATAAATACTGCTTAACAATGATCAGTCGGCTCTTCATCAAGAATTAAGATCTCATATTCTCTTTTTGAGGTATTTGCAGTATCATTCTGAGCAAATGCTCACCCAAACCATGTAAACAATGTGTATCTCTGTAATAGACATATTTTCAGTAGCTCCTGACAACCAAACAACAATTGGCAAAATCTTACTTAGCATTTGTTGTTAGGGAGGGAGAAGAGTAAATTTAAAAATGCACCTTTCACACAGAGAAGCTAATTCTTTTTTCTCCATTTGCACAGCATCCCTAATGTCCTCTCCCGCTCTGTGAAATTAATAATGATCTCAACACAACACTACAATACTTAGAAAAAGATTGGACTCTGTGAAGCTGGAAAGACATTAACATTTATATTAAGTCATTTCCTATTATATTTTCTCCTCTCCCCAAAAATAATCTGTTACCATTTGGAGCAATCCTGATGTATAGCAATGCACTTTCTGTTCCTCCTCTGCAGATACCTCCCTCTGTGACAGTGAGCTGTAAATGCTAGCTGCTAATCAAGAGATATGGTCGCAAAGTGCCTGGTAATGAGCAGTTTCTTCAGGAAAGATGACATAGTTTGCTCATAAACATACGAAAAGGTCGCCCTACATGTGCCATTTCATTAGTGCCACCATGAAGTTAGCACCTGCGGTTAGATACATTATAACAGAGTTCATTTGGAGCAGGAATAACGTCACCCTACTACAGAAAAATGGTTTAACATGGTGAGATGATGATTGTGTTTACAACAGACATTATCAGCCTCATTCTGAGTTGATTTTAAAGGGACTTAAGTCTTTCAGTGTGCCATATTTACACATAAAGTACCCCATGTGCTCTACACAAAAACAATCTTATCTCAACTCAATCACAATGCAGAGAATCTATCAGAAGTGTAAGCCTCAAAGATGAAAATACCTGGCTTCTTCCTCTGCGTCGGTAGTTCCTTCGCACAATGTTCTTGTAGTTCTCATTCTTTTTGGTCAGGTAGTAAAAGAGCACACACTCTGCCACCGTCTGAAACATGAAACAAATGTCATTTCTTATGCCTTGAAAAAAGGGAATGACACAAAAACAAAGGAGTGAAGAGGGAGAAAAAAAAGTATACCTTTCTCTCTAGAAAAGACGCAATCAGACTGAAGTTTTTGGGGTGCTGGATGAACCTGTGGAAGCACAACAAAGGCAACAGAATGAATCCAAAATAATGGTAATTTCTGGAAAGTCACAAAATACCACGAAGAGAGTGCCTGGGGGTGGGATGACATCAGCGATCACACAGAAAGAAAATGAGAATTTATGACTCAGCTTACCTAAAAAAAATAAAACAAAAAGAACAGAAAAAAGGAGAAAAACAAAAACCCTGCTTTAAATCTAAAATCTATTACATAAATAAATATTTCAATAAATAAATAAAACCGGTTACTTAGTATTTCTTTTAGATCAGAATTGTTAGAAGAAGAAGCTGAAGTTTATGTGGGGCCAAACTTTAAAGTTGACGATTTTACAGCACGGGTTTGATTTGGCTGCCTGAACCGCCTCTTCTCAATTCTCACGAAAGAGGAAGAGTCACTTCCTTACTAACAACTCCCTGACCCTTTCTCAGTCACACATGTTTCAAAGGGAGTAAAAGACGCAGTTCGCCATGTTATATAAAAAGCAAATCTCAGGAAATTTTATGAACGTAAGAGCTGAACTGAAAGTTAATACAGCATCTGAAAACAGAATAAACCTGTAAAGATGAAGGAAAACCAACAGTCTGGTCATATGCTGTGCTGTGGGTGTCCAACAGCTTCTGTTTCTAGCAGTGTCATTATCAAAGGAAAGGAGCTTACTTCTCTCTGAACGTGTCCTTCTCTTGATCGCTCCACATATTCATAACCTGCCGGTCCTTGTACACCTTCATGGGGTCACCCATCAACCCATTCATGTTGATGAACTTGATGCGTTGCTGCTCAGCGTCAAACAGCATAGGAGGGATGACTGCCAGCTGTCGCATTTGCTTCTCTGTGTTCTAGTGTCCACGCGTGCCACAAACCCACACAAGACAGAGAAATCAACATCCTGGAGTGAGGGGGCTGGTCTCCAGAGAGACATACAGCCTAGTGCTAATACAGACATGCACTCTCTTAAAAAGTTGTGTGGTAGCACATGATGTTTGAAGCATTTGGAAAACAAGCACAGAATTTCAGTGTGATTTGGTGACTCAACAGGCTCTGTTATGCTAGGTCTAATAGCAGCTCTCCTTCACAGACTTATTTCCCATCACTCAATTATTTGCAACGTAACAAAGAACCAAAACCTCAGGACTGGTTTGTAAATGAAAAGCACTGTCTTGTTGTCAGCTTTCCAAAGACTGAAGGTTTGCAGTCTAATCGACTGACAATAAGTAATCATGACACTGTCAGGAATAAGTACGAGCTTTTGTGCATATTTTTGTGTGTTAGAGTCCAGACTTCAGTTTAGTAGATGAAGCTTGTGATGAGGAGGAGGATGACGTTTTATCTATATGCCAGTCACGTTGTGTCTTTCCTTTGTGTTTTCACTTCTTTGGTGAGGGGGACCCTGTCTCAGATGATAAAACATAGGTGTGATCCTTCATATCGTGAGTCTGAAGGTGCAGACATTAATTAAAATTTGCATTCTTGGCACTTTTCTCCTCTACCTTTGGTGTACTTTGCATGTGACTGGTCTGTGATATTTTCAGTGACTATATTTTCAATTTGAAAACACACTTTGAGAACTGAATTTCATTTCAACTGGAGTAATTATTAGCTTTTGTACTTTAAATGCCCCACAACACTTGAATGTCAAAATATTTTTAATACTAAAACTCTTCCCAAAACCTGTAAATCTCCAGGCAGTTACTTAGCTGTGATTTTGAAGTCCATGCTAAAGTTCCCCATTCTCTGCCTGAAGGTTTAGATTCATCGCAGAACAATTACACAGAGTGTAACGGGCAAGAACTATGATTACTGGAGCTAAGGCTATGGGTCAACCGTACAGATTACACAGCACATAAAGCAAAGAGAAAGGAGGTAAGACTACCAGTGAGAGAGCCAGTAGCAACTGCCAGAAACTCCTAAAGCCTTTGAGAGCATTCCAGCTGAAAGCAGCTGTGCTAGCTTCTGGGTTGTGGTGGCCTCAAAAGTATAGTTGGTCATTTTTTTAACCACTTAAGCCCCACGCCCCCGGTGCCGGGGCAAAAAGGAGGAGATCACATTTAATTGGTTATAACACAGGTGAGAAATGTAAGTCCAGACATGTGTGGTATCCACAGAAAGCTCTGAATCTCAGCAAAAATGTCATATAAACCATTTCTATAACCGCCAAACACACCGAAAACAAGCCATGATTAAACGAGCAGTTACGTAAATGCGCAGAAGTCTGCTAAACAAACAAAACCAAACAAGAATTTCTTCAGACTTCATGTATCAGGCTAAAGAAAGGCTGGTTATCTTCTAGATTGGTTGAAGTGATGTCAACGTGACATTGTTACTGTGATCCTGTTGGCTCAAACGGTTAAAAAGAGGGGCCAATCATGCAAATTGACCAAAGGAAACCAAAGTTACAGCCCCAGAGGCCAATCAAACGCTCTATGCGCACTGCTGAAAAGGGCCATTACCATGTAAATGTGTGGTTAATTCTTCAAAAATATTTTTAAAAAAAGCATTTTTAGGCCTGTTAATAAAATTAATTAATTTCTGCTCTTTAATACATAAAAAAAAATTCCAATGGTATGGTGTCCAATTGTGTGCCGAAAGTGGACATTTTTGTACAGCGTCTGGATATTCATGTATTGACAGTGCTGTAATTTTTCCACTGTTTCACTTTAGAAACATAAATTTTTGCACAGAGGATGTTTAAATGTTGGTTACTGAATTACTGGAATGAAATGTGAACTGAGGCATATTTTTGAAAGGGTTATATGCTAAGAAATGTAAAAAAATTAAAAAAAATAAAAATAAAAATAGGCGAGGATTAAATCTACATTGTCATTCTGCTTAACTGCATTTATCCATGTGGCTAGAGACTGGTCACATACAAAGTACACCAAAGGTAGAGGAGAAAAGTGCCATGAAGGCAAATTTTTATTCATGCCTGCCAAAAAAGTGAAAATACAAAGAAAGACAGCGCGCCTGGCATCTGGATAAAGCGTCATCCTCTTCCTCACTACAAGCTTCATCTCCTGAACCGAAGTCAGGACTCTAAAGATGTATTTATTCCTGACAATGTTGCGATTATTTATTGTCAGTCGATTAGACATGCAACCCTCCAGTCACTGGAAAGCTGATGACAAGACTATCATAGCCGAAGCAAACCAAACATTTCCCACTGTAGTATTTTCACATTTAAATTCACCTAACAAAACACAAGTTGACTTATATTGAAGTCAGAGCAAATGCATTGTTTATGTCAGCAGCTCTGGCACTGCTCTGTCAGTGAATCGGTTTGAATTATGACAGAGAGTAAGGAAACAAGGAGGAACTGCTAGTGATCTGTTCAGATGAAGTGCTGCAGGCAACAGCACACCTCTGACTTCTTAGCAAGGTAACCAGCTTTCACTTTTACAGCAAGTTTTTGTTCAAAGACTCACGTTGTGTCTTTCAAAAAACAAACAAAACCAAAAAAAAGATGATTGTTCAGCATGATGATGGGAAAGGCCAATTACTGACAGATTTTCTGGTCCTTTTTTCTCTTTGTACACCTATAACTGTGTGAGGTGCAGCATTAAACTGGTATCAATACTGCCACCAGTAACTGCAGGCGTCACCAAAAAAAAAAAAAAAAAAAAAAAAAAAAAGAGCAATAAAAAACATCCAAAGTGCAGTGAAGCTAAAATGCTACACATCAATATTTGGCCTGAGCTGCACTTACCTTTAAACCAGCAGCAATTAACATATAGACAATTTTTAAGCTCACAAACTTCACATATTTAATACGAAATAGGTGAACGCTCACATATACAGATTTACATATTAAGGCATAATCACATTTCTCCCAACTTGACTGGGAAGAACTTACAAATACAAGATGCACATGAAGACCAAGTCTAGGGGCTAAGCCACTTTAAGAGAAGAGCTTACCTCATGCTCTGATATTCCATCAATGATTTCAGAGACTTCATGTTCACTGCGAGCTGCAGATGAGGTCAGCCCACCCCCTCGCTGCCCAACACGGCTACAAAAAGAAAAAAAAGAAGACCCGTTCATTCAAATCTACCCACACACTGCTGGCAGTGAGCTACCTACATCACATGATGAAACAAATCCACGTTAACGCTTTACAAGAGCAGCAGTAATAAGGCAACAAATCAAACTGATTGAGTCTGTTACATTAACAGTGTCTGTTGTGCCGGTGGGGAAAACAAATCATCCCACCTCTGCATTCGCTCCTGCAGCTCTCTTTGCTTGCGGATCTCTGGGAACTGTTTCTCGTAGTACTCCCGCACCTTGCTTTCCTTGGCTCTGCGCCGTGGGTTGTTTTCAATGCGCTCCACCTTCTTCTCCCAAGCCTCCATTAGCTGGTCATAGCGCTGGCAAAACTTCTGTTCCTGAAGGATCACAGAAACAAAACGAGCTCAGTCTAATGTGGATCTATTTAAATATGATCCTTACGCCATATTGGATTTGAACTAGGAGGAGTATTACGTTTGAGAAGATGCATTTCCTGAAGATTTGACAGGAAACCTTAAAACACACGGCAACCCTCAAAGAACAAAATGATTTTTCATATTACGTCTCCTGGGTGTATCCTACCATGCACCCCTGTGTGTTCAGAGGGGGCAAAGTGACGTGTTGGTATTCTACGAGGAGTCTAGCCTCGAGTCAAATCTCCGGCAGACGGCAGCCAACTGTTTTCCCAGCATCCTCACAGGCAGGCTGTAAAGCAGGCCATTAACCCTGGTGGAGACACGACCCTCGACGGGCTCATAAATTACAATGTAACGTCCCCCTTCACTTTGCCCACAAGGAGCTCCTCACTTTGAGAAGAGTGGACACCGTGACACTGATGAGGTGCTGCATTTGAACCATTTTTTTTTTTCTTTCTTACATCAACTTACAATACAGAATATGCTGTGACAGAGTTCCTCTGGCACCAACTGAGAGATTAGATGCTACTTTCTCATCATAGATTTTTTACTTTTGGATACACGCAAATGTCAGTAAAAAATAATGATTTCCTGTCAAGTCAGTTGATTTTACAATGGCTGCCTGGCTCTAGCATCAGAACTCACCCCATTGATCTCAGCTTTATTTATAGTCGTGCTCTTTAGCTCAGTCTTACTCAGGCCCTGGCAGGCTGGAGCATTGGGTAACCCTGTACACTGCTCATTACAGTGTACAGTGAATTCAAAATTATACTTTCAGATGACAACATGGGTTATTTTTTTGGTTGGTTTTGAGAGCAATTGTTTCCCAGGAGCACAGTGCAAGTACCAACAGCAGATCATACCCACAACCTTTTTTTTTTTGTATGCCTAAAATGGCCACGCACTTCAAGGAGCAGCTGGCCCACTTTCATACTAGTCATCTGTCACGGGCTAAGGCCAGCAGAGAGTCAAAAATGTGAAGTTCTATACTTACCCACTGCTTACGAGCATGATTTCTCCTTTTGAAGTATAAGATGAGCTTCTTCCTCATCGCCTGGTTTCTAAGAGGAGAAAACAGAGGGCAGAAGGATGGGAATAAAAGAATAAGGTGAGAACATGTGAGGGGGATCCAATCATTGTCAGACACTGCTCTGGCTTTCATCATATTTCTCTCACATAATGGAGCCAAGCCTATGATGTCCTCAAGATCCTCAGGTAAATTTTCTATTATTTCAGGAGCTTCTGTGCGGCACTTCTTTTCTCAATACAAAAATAACCACATAAACACACACTCTCTCTCAGACTCTCACACACTCACATAAACACAAACAATGCCTGTCCTTGTATGCCACCGCTCGATAAACTCAAACTTGCTTCTGGGTGGAAAGGACAGCGAGGGGAGCCAAACTTATAAAACTTGTCTGTGCTGGGAACAGCCAGCCACAGAGCTTCAAATAAAGGTCAGGGCCAGTAATCTCCTTAGGCAGCCACTCAGTTTGTCTCTTTCTTTGCTGCAAGACAGAGTTTTATTCCTGACACTTAATCTGTCACTTGTAAGGTCACGTTCCCCACTGATTAATGTAATCTTATTCTACATTAGTCACTTCAGCTGAGCCGCAGGGTCCTTCAGGTCATGGACAAGGACGGAAAACTAGGAAGTGGGCTAACAGGGGTGTATGACTCTTGTGAAAATTTAAAGATAGCACGATAGCATTCAGTAAGCAGAGATATACATGCTGACGATGGCCCTGCTCGCATTCCCAACTTTTTATCTGTAGTACCAAAACCAAGTCAGATCTACAGAGCCTCAACCCCCAACCTACAAAAACACTCCCACGCACACACACATACAAACACAGACACATGTTGAGCTGTGGCATTGCAGCAGGGTTGAGGAAAGATAAAAGCTGCCAAATCCAGCTAGATAGTGTAGATGTCCACACAGTGTGGCCTATAATGGATGAGAACTAACTCACTATGGCAAAAACAGGACTGATAGATTAAGCTCTTTAAGGACAGAGATGGCTTTGTCCTCTAGACACCAGATGGCAAAGGGAAAGATTAGCAGCCCTGAACACTTACAAAAGGTTTCCTTTGTCCTGCTGTAAGCCGGTGCCATTTCTGAGATATTGGAGAACACTGTAATTTGGCATTATACCTCTAAAACATGACGGCTGAAAGACGCATTATATGCAAAATTGTGACAGATGTTCTACAGTGGTGCCACCACACTAAGAAAAAAAAAAAACAAAAAACTTTTCAAACCTCATAATTAGAATTTGCCGTTACAGTAAACTGCATACAAAAAGGATATCTGTAAATGTCCTTTGTGACACTACTACTACTGTGTGATGATACACTGAGATGATGAACTAGGATGGAGACAGAGCTCCACAGAGATACTACTAGTCGCCTATCCCAACATGAATACCAAGGTTATCAAACCAGTTAACAAAACAAAGGAGTCAATTGTGCAGGCTCAAAGCGACACACTGGTATTTAATAACATAAACACGAAGAGAGTGAAGACAGTTTTCAGTTAATTGCTTTGAGGCAATAATACTGATCAAACGATGAAGGGATCAAAAGGGGTGAAGACAGCAGTGTGCGGGTAAGAGGTCAGACACATCTTGTGGTGCGCCACTGCCCAAACTACAGTGCCAACGGTGCAGGCGAGCCACTACACCCTCCCAGAGTCGTTTGATGTGTCTCACTGTGAATTACAGTCCTTAAAAGATTACAGATAGACATAAGCTATATTGACAGACATGGCAGTGCCACACAGGATTGTATACTTTCTGCTCCTCTCTTATTCCAGTAGGCATTTTTTTGTGTTTGCTTGTCTTTTTAACCCCTTAGCCTCCCTATTGTTACACACATTAATTCCATCAAGTCTCACTACTTAGCTTATCTCACATCCCCCTCTGAAATGTCATTGTTTGTAGTCTGCCAGTGGGTAAAGGATAGTTGAAATATGGGATGTGGTGGAAAGCAGCTAGTTTCTCACACTGAGGCAATATAAAACCAATGCAGGGATTAATGGCTGCTAAGGTTACCAAGTTTCAATCGTTGGAATTATAATAAAAACAAAAACAAAGGCTAAGTTAACAGAATATAACAGGAATTGCCTTGTGTGGACCTCATTTACATTATGTAGGTGTTGTTGCTCTTAACGTTTTACTATCATGGTTTCAAATTCCTTGTATACACTGATTACACATCAATCAGTCGCAACATTAAAACTAGCTCCTGAGTCTTCTGCAGCTCTCCTTGTGCTGCTGAAGCAGTTCTGACCTGCCAAGGAGGATGACTCCCCAGGACTTTAGCAGCAGATCCTTAATATCCGATAAGTTGCAAAGGAGACCCTTTGCAGTGAGATCAGCAGGGTGAAATATTAACCAGTTAGCAGCTGGTAAGGCAACAACTACAACAACAAGACAGAGAACACTATGATTTAAGTTGTGTGTTATGTTTCATAATAATATATCTGGAAAGGAGAAGTATGAATTGACACTACATCCATGGTTTAAAGCACTCAATTTGAACATAATTTGAACAAAAAAAACTAACTATTTTCTTTATATGTTACCAAGTATAAAGGGAGTCATTAACCCTTAACAGATGTCTCTACCAGCAAACTGCAGGTCCTGGTGCCACTGATGATGGTTTCCAAAAGCTTGAATAACAAATCCTTTGTGCCTACATTACCAGTATATGCCAGTCGACACCAAAAGACAGGAACCAGTCAACCATAGCAACTTATATTCCTCCGCTTTGGTCTCTGTGGCCTTTTGACTTTCTTGTAATCCGGATTCAGCTTCATAATATTTCTCATTGTGTCGCTGTGTGTGGTTATGACAGGCTGCAAGCTGACAGGAAATGCAAGCAAATGTTTTTACATCTCTCTTGACAAGTGAATTTGCACTGCATTTCCTCCCTACCATAAAACTGACTTTTGTTCTTTGTGTATGGCTGTGTATGGTTAGTTTTGATTCAAGAAGATCAACTTCTTGAATCAAAACCAACCATACACTTAGGTAGGTCAAAGGTTTGTGCTGTGCTAGAAGCAAGACTATCGGTCCCTGTTTCTTAAAGTGCAGACACACAGAGACACAAAAAAGGGATATTAGGTAATTAGAACAATGTATATATTTTTCTGGTCTGAAAGCATCTAATGTTTTGGTAGGTTAAAGCAAAATCCAGTTTTCCCAGATGAACACTGTTTTCACCAGATCTTCTTCAAATCTCTTCGCTAATTTGGGAAAAAGTGGCCCTAAACATCCACATGATGTAAAAGAAATCATTATTTAGAAGAGAACACCCTGCACTGTTGAAGGATCCAGTTCTGACACCGATGTTCACCATTTAGGACAGAGGTCAACAGCAGCAGTTCTTCAATCCCATGTGCATCAACACACACTGACTACCAATGACCTTATCGCTAATTCACCAGTTTTTGAACCACTTTCAGTGGTCGGTCTTTGCCAAAATCACTTGGATCTTTAAAGCTGCCTTTTTCTCCTCCATCTTCGTGTTCACTCGCAGCTTAATTTATTCTATTGCTTGACAGGTGCGATTGTAAAAAAAGACACAAAAACCACAACACTGACACAAAAAGCTTAATCTGTCAGTGGGTTTAGCGCTTTGGCTAAATCGGTGTACATCTTTAAATACATCCGTTTGTAATTAATTTATATAAAAACATGTCCATCAAGAGCTCTAAAGTGACATTTATCCCACAGGAGGTCCCATGTCAGTTAACATATTCAATACGTTACACCTGTATTTTAGTGTTTGTGTATAAAAGACTTAGTGATAAGAGTGTGTAGGCATATATAATGACAAACTCACATTTTGATGTTTTCATGGTACTGCTTGGTATCAGATGGCTGGTTGTACAGAGGCTGGATTGGAGGGAAAAAAAGCTGATGAACAGAAAGCCATTTTTTTCCAACTGTATAACAGATAAAACAAAGGTCATATGTCACTTTTCCTTCCAACATGTCATGAATATGACTCTCATCTTACAGCAAAAAAATAAATAAAATAAAATAAAATATGACCTTAAACCACAGGGTTTTTCCTGAGGTTACTGCTCAAAAATAAAATGTCCAAAATAAATATAGTATTTCTCTACATACACTCTGGATAAACAATCTTAGTATCAAAACAAAGCTAAAATTTGTGAGACCTTATCAGAGGTGTAAATACAGGTGTCAAAGTAACTGAGGATGGAAGAAAAAAATCTATATATATATTTTTAAGAAAATATGAAAAAAAAGACCTTTGAAAATATGCTGCAGTATACAAAACTCCAGAAAATCATGAATCACCATATGGATATTATGTGTGCATAATATCCATATGGTGAAAGTTGCAATAGCTGCAATGCTGCGGCGTGAAACTGAGAAAAGTTGCAGAGGTTTTAGTGAAGACATAGCCAGGCGTATTGCAATTTGGCACAGTGAGTGAAAATTGAAATTTCTTAGGTATTAACAGCATTAACTTTCTTTACATGCCTAAAGATTTCTTGTATTTGAATATTTTCTGACGAATTGCCCACATACATGTGCATAATGGGCCTTCCATGAATGTAATGGATAATCTGTGGGCCTGAAAATTCTGAGGGGCAGTAACTTTGGCTTCTATTGGCCGATTTGCATGACTGACCCCTCCTTTTAATCATTTGAGCCAGTAGGATCACAGTAACTTTCACAACGTTTACATCAACCCCACCAACCAGAAATTGCAGGGCGAGAAATACAAGTGAATGCAAAAAGCACAACACTTACCATTGTTAAATTCAATCGCTGTAACTGTCGGAAAATGGCAACGTTTTGGCAGGAAAGGGTCTGAGGCATTGTGGGAGATTTTCAGGAAATGAGAGATAGCCACGACTTTTAAAGTTTTGGTATAAAAAAAAAAGCAAAGGTAAGGCTGAATTCATGTTACAGTTTTTAAAAGTGAAATATAATTTCGGTCTTCTTTTGTTGCTGGTTCAGTGAATTTTGCTCAGCGCGTGATGAAAGTTGCAGTTTTGGGATCTATGCAATATCAGCTTTTAGAAATTTATTATTTAAGGGTTTCAAGAGGTTAGCAAGACTGATACAAAGCTGTGACTGACAGAAGACCGATAACATGATATAATTCAATCCAGCGAACTCACTCATAAAACAAATAAACTAGGGATAGTATTTTGCGTGGGCTCTTGAATAGGCTCATTAAAAAATAAAAAAAAAATTTTTAAAAAAACTTAAAAAGCCAAGTGGACACACTCAGTGTGCTACTATGCATGTGGGAGTAAGATGTATGGACAGCCAGATGGCCACACATAGTATATCAGGATGTAGATGAAGAAAAACACAGTAGTCTGGAAATGTATAAAGGAGCAGAAGTACTCATTTCAGTACGACTGCTAGAACAAGCAACATGCGAGTCATTTTATTTAAAATTAAATATTTAACATACCACCTAATGGAGCTTTAAGATAGCACACAAATGTTTTCACTTCATTATTTTTAACCTAAGCACTTGGTCATGATGTGATCAGGCTTGTTCCTCTCCCCTAAGCATCCTTTGTCCCTCTAATGTGACCTTGTGAAAAAACACGGGGGGTGGAGGAAAGGGAAATGCTAAAACTGACTTGTGAGATAAAGTAAAGTCTCTACTCACCAGCTCTACCCTGGGTCCCAGTCCCTCCAGTATCCTGTGAGCTTCTTCTGCCTTTTTCTAGTGAGCAAAGATAAACACAAGTAGAACATTAGCCGGCCGCCTGCACCTCTGCCATCACCACAGCAACGCAATGAACATGCTAACTTGATCACTAAGGCTACACCACTTCTTGCCGGCTGGATGGAGAGATGGATGCGTTGACTATTATTAGAGCTTTTAACTGAAGCTGGGCCGCAGCTCCTTGCCTCAGCACCCTCTCCCCTTTCTCTCTCTCTCTCTCACTCAGATAAAAAATAAAAGATTACTCACCACCCCTGAGCAGAGAGGTAAGAGAGGAAGAGCAGGCGGGCAGGAAAGCAAGTGGGAGTGGAACAAAAAATGAGTGGGAGAGAAAGAGCAGAAAAAAAGAAGAGAAAAAAAACACAAGGAACAAGGAGGGGTGGGGGCTACAAGGCTTTGGTACTTATCTAATAAGAGACATCTGATGAAAGACAGAGAACGCTCCGAGCTACCTACAGCCATCAACCCCTTAAAAAACAAAATTCCTGGTCCAGGTACCATAAAACAAGAGGAGGGGTTTTGGGGCATGAAGCTGGGCAGTTAAAAAAAGAAGGGAAAAAAAGGAGGGGGGGGGGGGGGGGGGGGGGGGGGGGGAGACGACAAAAAACAAACAAACAAACAAACAAACAAAAAAAACCCACACACCCCCATCTCGGGGTGACCTCTCTGCTGCTCTGCTCCTCCATACATTTATATTTAGCTCCCTCCACTAGACAAATGTTGAAAGCAGTGGCCCAGACTGCTCCTCTCAGTGCTTTTTCATGCTTTTCTTTATTCCACTATGTAAGCCTAATCAAACAGCCCCTCCTTGGTGGCACGCTGCACACTCCGTTTCACATCTCAGTTCATTTTCCTCAATGATCAATCTAAACTGCCTGGGCTTCAGCTCTTTTTCCACTAGTACTACCTCAACGCGACTTGAAGTGGTACAACCCGTCTCGACTTGTTTTCCATTACAATCGAGTACCGCCTAAGGTGGCGCGGGGTCTTTATAGCAACGCGTCCGAACGTCTCGTGACGTCATTTGTATGCGACAAGAACACGACAACTAGGGCGGCCTGCGGCATTTTTCAGACTCGTGTCCACCGTGTTGTTTCCGTGTAGCCATTTCCCTTGTCGCCTGGTTTTAAAACCGGCGGTTTCAATTTTCGTGAAGCAGAAGCTCTAATGACTCATCGTGTGATGCCTCTGACTAGCCAATTGGTGGCACACAGTTTTTCGATGTCATATTTTCCAGTCGCCCTGGATCGCTTGGAACCGCGGTCAAAGTAGGTACCCAAAAAAAGCATATATGGTATCAGGTGTTATCACGTAATGGAAAACCCTAAGTAGGTACTAATGGGAAAGGGCTATTACAGACAGGATTGGCAGTATAAAACAAAGAAGGGTGGTGGATGGAGAGGAGCATGTGGGAGAAATGGGTGGGTGTGTGATGGAGCCTACACGCTTCACCTCCCATCATGTTTCTTCACTGTAGAAGTAGCAAAGGAGGTGTTTGGGGACCTTCTCCTAAGTTTATACAAGACTCATGCAAACAGACTTGAAAGTGAGACCCCAGAGAAGCTCAGCACAGCTCAGCTTCAGTCAACACAGGCTGACAAGTAGGTCACCTGAGAGGGAATCCAAATGACACAGGTCCTACCTTTAAAACTACCGTGCATTTCCCCTTACTATGAATGCAAGCAGAAGCACTGATGCTTTACATATGCACAGCATACATATCTTTCAAATGCAAATACTGTATCGGGATGTTATTATTCTTCCTTCAGTCTGATTAGAGTTTTTCCTCATTCCTGTTGCTCGTCACCAGTGAGTAGGTGTAACAGGCTGCAGAGTGTTGCCTCAGAGAGCTTGCTCACTACAGAAGCAGTTAATGAGCAGCAATTATTAAAAGCAGCCTTTCATCCTCAAGGGAATTGGGAGACTCAAGGATTTATATTCATTTCCTGGCTGTGACACTTTAAGCGAATTTGAGAACAAGACTGCATGATTTCTGACCTCAAACCGCTTGAAACACACATTCAGATGAAAATACTTGAAATGGCATGTTCAGAGATAAAGAGTGAGGAGGGGGAGCAGACAAGACTATTCTGCTTATTTCATGAGGGAGGGACAATGCTTTTAATAACTGCTCTCTCGATCCATGTCTACCACAGATAGCCCATCACACAACCGAAGCGGAGAAGCTGGTTCCATTATTTCAATCACACTCCCCTGTGGTAGCACACTGGACTTAAGGGCTGCGCAGTTGTAAATCAACTATTTTCTCCAGCAGGTCATTGCTTAGGCTGCTGCCCCCGCGACCCGGCCCCGGACAAAGCGGATGAAGATGGATGGATGGATGGAGGTCATAAGCTCAAACTAAAACTACAATAGTGTGGTTTTTTGTTTGTTTTTTGGGGGGGTTTTTGTGTTTTTTGGGGGGGTGGGGGGTGTAATGTGACTACAATCACAAAACCTGTGAAACTCCCATAAGGGGGGGCGGGGGAGATAAATAAAAAAAAATAAAAAAAAACAGGTACGAAAAGATAAAGCCTAGAGGGCAAACTTAACACAGAATAATGAAAGAATTTAGCATAGCTCAATGCAAGTTTCACAAGCCACTGTAACACAGGATCTTTTTTCCTGTTGTGTTTTGTGTCCGTGTTCTAAATATGAGAAGAGTGAAACCGAGCTGAGCCTTCCCCAGAGTTGGGGGGCTGTCAGCAGAAATGAGGCTGTAACCCTGAATGAGAAAGCTGAGCAGAGTGTAGCAGGAACAAATGACAACACAAAGACATGAGCTCAAAAGGGTACACGGAGGCTGAAGTAATAATAGACAGATGCTTAAATACACACCTGTGTGTGGCGACATGTTAAAATACATACTCAAGGTGGTGTTCAGCACACACCTACCAGTGATTATTTTTGTTTGAAATTGGGTATAGCACCAAAGCTGAGGGACATAAAGGATGCAAGTTATTTTGCAACCTCTAAAAAAAAAAAAAGCAAACATTTGAGGATATATCATTTGCTTTTAAAAAAAAATAATAATTTCGAGTGCGCAAGCTCTAACCTCCACAGCTCTGTGTGCTTTGAGTTTGAGTGCATTAATATACACACACACACACACACACACACACGCACGCACGCACGCTCCAGGAGCCGTTGAGTCAGATGTTGCCAGGCGTAAATGATTTCTATCTAGAACAGGCCATTTACTGTTAACTGTTGTCTGCAAAAAAAGATGGGGCTGTACAAGTTATTCTAAGATTTCCTGGCGTTTCTAGAAGCAACCGTACACCTTCAAGTGTATTATCACCTCTGGGCTGAGTAGAGTTTACACTCATTCACATGTAGTATTTAAAACCAAGCCAGAAAAAACTGTTTTCTCTCAGCATGATATCTTTACTGCCTCAGCTCACAATACCTGGATTCATTTAATATCTTACTGTATTATGTTAAATTTCACTTTTCTAAGATCATCATCTTTATATTTTAATTATTATCTTGAATAAAAGTGAAATTCTCTTTTGAGAAAAAAGTTGAAATGTGGAGATTCCAGTTTCAAGACCCTCTAAACAATGCCTTGTGTAGTTGAGTTCATGAAATCTTACATCATTTTCCGTTTTAGTTACAAGGAAATTTCTCTTTTAGCACATAAACACAGTATAAAGACACTGAAAAGATGGTGCAGAAAGCTGCACCTGGCCAGAAGGGAAATAAGCCAGAAATAAAAATTTGGCTTGATTTGTAAAATATGAAATAGCAAGAATATCAATGGTTACACCCTTGTGCAATAAAAAGGATGCGTGTTGTATCACAAGATAAGACAGCTGTCCAATCTGTTTTACTAAATCATCAACACCAGGCATTTTGTAGAGGGTATAGAAGCTGTCTGGAATCTCTACATTTTAGCTAAAATAGTATTTTGACTTCAATCGCAAAATTTTGACTTTATTCTCAAAACATAGAATAATTTCTTAATATGGCCCTAAGACTCCTTCATAGAGAAGGAGAACAAATAGAAATAAATTTAAAAAGAAAAAAAAAAGCTCTTTTTTTTTTATAGAAAGGGAGGGTGAAGCAAAAGCAAGTTGGAGGGTCGGCAGTAGGCCAAAGTACACCAAGTCAGTGAGAGGGAAGTGGGAAGTGTTACAGAGGTAACGCTACAAGTCAGCGATTTGTACACATCCAGATAACTCTTAAGCAATGTCCTGCTATTTCGCAGAAATGCTTTGAGTCGGCTGTGCCTGATGACAGTAATAGTTGTGAAGGACAACCCCAGCTCTCCTAAAAGGGCTTTTAATGCCATTTGTGGCCATGAACTAGCAGAAAATGATTGTTCTCTAAAAACCAAGCTTCTGCACAAAAACAAAACCTGAAGGCAAACAAATGACGCAAAAATGTTCTGCTCTGCAGCCAGATCCAGGACACACAATACCAAGATTTGTCGGTTTGTTTTTTGTGTAACGGTCCGACATACCGCCTTTAGCCAAAGGCAAGGACATAAAACGTAGCTGTAAAAGACATGGGCTACGACCAACACGTCACTTTGTGCTACTGGAGCCTCCATACACGGACTCTGAATAACACAGAGAATGGATGACCCTACACTGACATGCCCATGATGATTCAAAACAAGCAAAGATTGGGGGGGGGGGGGGGGGGGGGGGAGTGTCCCTGAACTGGGTTTTTTGTTTTGTTTTGAATGACATTTAATCAGGGTTAAAATTTACACCTTTACGATCAATTCTTCATTTTTGGTGCCTTGAATGTGCCAGAAATGTTGACAATATTGAAATTTGCTTTGTTAGCAAACAATTAGTTGTTTACCTGTTCCTAAATCCAGCTTCTTTTCCTGAATCTGGGGGCACAGTGAAATGAAAGGAGGACTTCCCTTCTTAAAATGCCACTTTATTAAAAAATAAATAAATAATAATAATAAAAAATGGAGGTGCAAACCTCCTTCCAACCACTAGAGGGACCGAGAGCACAGAGAATCACTTCAAATATAGACTTCTGTACACAACATTCTCTGCAGCACATAATTATTGCCTTGATTTGGACTTTTTAAATAAATAAATAAGACTGGCCACATTTTCTAATGAATTTTTTTATTTTTGCTTCATTTTTCTTTTTGGAAAGAATTGAGAATTTGCATAAACAGACCTGCATAAAAGACACAAGTGCATTTGTATCATTCCCTGATATGTGTATGTTTTTTGTTTGTTTGGGTTTTTTTGCATGCATACACCTGTAAATTCATCATACTTGCTATGCTGACCTTTAGGAAGTCGTTCTGCCTTGCCTGACATTAAAGACTAGAGAACAGGTATGAGACGCATCTGTGACACTCACCGTCTCTGTTACACAATTTAGGGTTGGGCTTTTTTTCAAGAATTTAATCAAATAAGGTATTTAAAAACGACAGATCACAATGAAAAGAAAAAGAAACATTCTTGCAGACTGTATAAACCCACCATGAGCAACACACACTTTGATTATGGTGTAAGTGTATTAATGAAAATCACAAAAGTACTATAGACTACTTGTATGTTATGCGGTTTCTTTAAAGCTACACCTGCTGTGCAATTTAGATTAGCTTACAGAAACTATTTTCAAACTCTGAGCAGCTTCTCATCTCAAAATTAGCATACATCACACATCAGAGAATGTTCAGAGGACAGCACAACTTAATTTAGGGGCTTATCGTGCACCAGCCAAAAACCACCCAAACATGAGGAAACGGTTGCCCTCCTCCACTATTATTTACTTGTGCTGATAAATATAGTCAAAATGAAGTGAAACTATTTCAAATGCAAGGTGCGCGCGTGTGCGTGTGTGTGTGTGTGTGTGCGTATTCCACTGACCCTGTTCTCATCGTAGATGATCTGCACCAGGCTGCGGTGCTTGGCCTCACTTGGTGGTGGCGAGATGGGTCGCTCTGGCTCATGGGGCTTTGCGGCCTCCTCCTCCAGCTGTTGCTGTAACGTGCGTGTAAACAAAGATGACAGTTAATGCTTAAAATAGGGCCCTGGACTTCAAGGAAGACCTGCGGCTCACAGGTTTCTGCTGTGAGGTTAGACAGTGTGCATTAGATCAGCTGTCCTTCTCTAGCTCTCCAACAGGGACAGCATTAACTGTCCTATTTACTGTAATAGCTATTAGCACCCCAGGGTCTAGTTAATCAAAGAGTTACCAAAACAGCTTGTAAACAGAGCCAATGCCTGGTGTGTAGCTTGAACATCCATTGACTAAAAAAAGAGAGAGACAGAGACAGACAGAAAAGAGAGAAATAATGACATGAACATGTGGAAAAACAACACCAGACAAATACTGGAACAGAGGAAGTTCTTTAACCTACTAGTCATCTTGGCAGGTGACCAAGCTTTACTTGTGATTACACTACAGAACCAGAGGACTTAAGGAAACTACTGTGGAGCATTTTGGCATTCAGAAAGAAGCTAACCAGTTTATAGAAAGAAAAGCAGAAATCATAAATGGAAAAGCAAAGTGTAAATGCAACCAAAGGGGGACTGCTATTCAAACTGTGCATTCTACCCATATGTGGAAGAGGCTAAATGTACCAGTAAGGATAATTAATCCGCCCACACTTTATGACACCAATATGCAGCATGTGGACACAGCCACTTCCTTCTGACTTTGAAAACGGAAGGCGGCGAAGAGCTTAAAGCTATTAAAACACTTTTAGACACTTAAAACACGACACAGAAAGCTGGAGCTTAACAAATTCACTTTTAAATAGGACATGCTGCATATGTAGAATCGACCTATGAACAACCATTTTCCTTCTTATTATTCAGCAGTGCCAGTCATCCAAGTCTGTGTCTAACAGTGATTTGCTAGTTAGCAAGAAATTAACCGTTAGCCTGTTCTTAAACTCCAAATACTTAAAATTACCTGATTAAATTATCCAATCACAATTTAGTTTTCTGTCCTCCTTCTGAGATATGTTAGGTAGTGCTTAAACTCTGAACTATTAAACCATAAGAACAAGTGTCCAAATTAAACTTGTATCACCAGATGAGATGCAAGGTGGAGAAAAATCTGATTACAAGGACTGTTGCATTTAATTTACTGCTTCTTTTCAATCGCTACATTGAAAGAGTCAGACCCAAGGATAGACTTTCAGTAAAAGCTTGACAAAAATCTAATACAGCAGCAAGTATAGTCTGATACTTATAAGAAACTCAACTTAAAAAGCATCATAAGTCTTAATCAGGTAAACTACGTGAATGTACTATTGCTGTGATTTATTACTATTACTGAAGGTCCACGGCTCCAAACCATATTAAAGGGACCTCTGGCTAATATGTCGGGCTCCGAGTTGGGCTCGTAGCTGAAAAATAGCTTTACTTCGTTGTCTGGGTCAACTTTGCTAGCGAGAGACAGAGAGAGGCGTTGAAAGGCTGCTCCAACGGAACTTACCGTAATTGTCGGGCTATAAGCCGCTACTTTTTGCACAAGCTTTGAACCCTGCGGCTTTTAGTCAGGTGCGGCTTTTCTATGGATTGTCCATGATTTTTGTCATATCGTAAGACGATTTGTTTTGTTTGTTCCGCTGTTGTACGGCACTACGTTGCCTGGCGGAAGGATCGGGGTTCAAGAGTGGTATGTTAGTCACATGTCCGTCCGCCAGGCAACGTAGTGCCGTACGAATTAGCGAGAAAAACAAACTTCAAAGTAGCGCTACGCATTCAGCGGGAGGCGTGGATGATGAGCGGCGATAAACTTGCGAAAAGCAAGTTATGCCCAACTCCACCGGTGGATTCTGACAGCGTGGAAAAGTGTGAAAACATCCACGATCAGCAACGGATTTTGAAGGGCTGGACTGCTGCATGATGGAGAGGAGGACTCCGACACTGACAATGAGGATTTCTTTGGTTTTGAAAGTGACAACGAAGGAGAGAAGCGGAGAGTGGATGACGAAGCCATCCTGAGCCTGTTTGTATCCGACACTGGAGGAGAGGACTTTGGTGGTTTTAGTGCGCAGGAAGAAGAGAAAGATGGTGGTGAATGACTGACTTTTCTTCTTGTTAAAGCTGTGTCACTGCACCTGAGCCTAAAAGGTAGTCCGAATCTATTTTTCTGGTGTGCTGTAGGTTACTGTTATGTACTACATGTGCAAATATGTACCCATAACTTGTTTGTCAAAATATTAATAAAAGGGGTGTGTCTCCAAACAGCCATCTCTTTCCTGACAATTCCCTTTGTGCATATTCTCTTACATATGATAAGTCAACATTGAAACACCTGCGGCTTTTGGTCAGGTGCGGCTAATGTATGTACAAAACAGGATTTTCCCCTGATTTTAGCTTGTGCGGCTAATATTCAGGTGCGCTTTGTAGTCCGGGAAATACGGTATTGTTTCGGAGGAAAACACAAACACAGCGTACAGTTGAGTCTTAATAGCTTACTTACAGCTGGGCTCGTCAGGCACTCTTCTTGGCTGCAGTGGTTATTATTATATTTACATGCTTCCAGCTCCTGTTTCTGCTCGATGATAACTCGTAGTTTTCCACTCGCCTTTTTCTCCCTCCTCGCGCTCACAGACACATAACGGGTATGGCAGTGCATTCTCCCTGCAGCACGGACTACACTGCCCATGAGGCTACATTCTTTAGAGCATGTAGCATTCTGCCTATTAGCTTAGCACAACAACAACAAAAGGCCACTCTCTCACCCAGGAAACACGCAGAGAAAGAGCGTCACCCTGTAACCATGGCAACCGTAACGCTGCCACCTGGAACAACAGAACGTAGCTGTCAAACCCAAACAGTCCTGACCCACCACAATATGAAACAGGAAAGTACCGCCGTGTAATCCATTTATTTCAACAAAGTAACTGTATTGTAAATACCACCTTTTTAAACGGTAACTGTAACGGAATACAGTTACTCATATTTTGTATTTTAAATACGTAACGGCGGTACATGTATTCCGTTACTCCCCAACACTGCATTTCTGACACCCTCCCAAAGTCTATAAAAGACACAAAAGAGAGCTGAGATCTTACTTCCTGTTTACCTTATTTCAATAAGATTCAGTCTATGGGTCTGAAAGATGGAGACAGAAACTGGAGAAGTGTACTCAGCTATAAGTTATCTGGAAGAATAGACCAAGTGCTGCTGACCATACAACGTATCTACCAGTTAAGTCAGCCACGTTCCCCTCCCCACTCCCCCTTCTGATCTCCTGACAGGGGCTTCAGAAAGGGGAGAAAGGAAGCCTCCAGAGGATCTACTTGAGAGGAGTATAAGACGGATCATCTTTTGCCATTATAGCCCTGGATAAGAATCTGGTGAGGCAAACAGACATCCCCACAGAGAGCCCCCTTCCCTGTTCAAACCCACCATGAAGTAAAATAAAATAAAACAGCCATCCTGAGCTTGGCTGACATGAATCATGCTGGCTGTAACCTAAACCTTAACCGCCACCCATTCACCAACTCTGCCAAAACCTTTTAATAAAGTTTTAGCATGCCACCTAATTAGTCCAGATGTTTTAATGCTCGAAGAGAGCCGGACTGTAAAAATATCCATAAAAAATACTGTGTGTATTAAGCGACGATGATGAGGGGAGGGATCTTGATTTATGCTGGTGAGCAGCTGAGTTCAGATTCTCCATCATTTAAAAAGGTTCGACACCAAGGTTGAAATCCAATAGCTGGCTTCATTTTGGTTCTTGTGGTAATTTGGAAAAAAAGGAGAAAGGAGGCAGTTCTCAGTTTCAGCAGTCGTGTTGTTCATGCCAGCAAATTTTACAGCAATAGTTGATTTATGTTAGTGTGGCAAAAACAGGACAAACTAAAGGACATGTTGTGATGAGATTACATCAGCGGTGACACCAATGAGGTCTCAGACCACCCTCATCTCTGATGTCAGGGCCATCATTTTACTGTCAGCTTGACTGCATTACTTAGAGCTTGTGCAAAAGTTTTGAGCCACTCTCATTTTTGTATTTTTTCCTTCCAACCCAGACTTTCTTGTATTTCTTTTTATTAAAGTACTGTTGAGCAATAGCTCTCATGACTTTCTGAGGGTCTTTCAATTTGCTGCTTTTTCACTCCCGCTACTTAGCACAGACCTATGAATCACTCAAGCATAAACCAGGAACTTAACTCAATGGATGAACCAGTATTGTGTCATACCTACAACTTAGCGAAGAACCAATTTTAAGAACATATTTAGTCAGTTTGTTACCAGCATCCAGTTTGTCAAACATAAAATTAAGTTTTTTGCACAAAAAACTTAAGTAAAAGTTCGGCATATCCCAGCAGTGTGCCTTTTAAAAATTGGAGGAAACCGGAGAGCAATGCAAAATCATTTTAACACAACAGAAGAGCTTTTACTGTCCCTTCAAGAAGCCTGGAGAACTATTGCTGAAGACTACTTAAAGTAGAAAGCCTGCCTAAAAGAGTTCAGGCTATGTTGAAGAATAAATGTGGTCATACCACTTGTACCTCAAGCTTGTTCGAGTTGTACAAACTCTCTTTGCGTCATATACTTTCCACGCATATTTTCATGTTTCAATAAATCCTACACATCTTTCCTATTTTCATAACAAAATATGAAAAAGTGAGCGGTGAATAAAGGCTTTTACACGCTACTATAAACAGAAACCACAGACACGTAAACATATAAACATCTGGCAAAGTACTCAACCCTATTTTGTGGTAGCTCTCGTTACAGCAGGTGTCTCCTGGAGTACATGTGACACACTTTCACAGGGTTAAAACCGTACCCCACACAAACTATCACATGTATGTTGACAGAACAATTTCAGTAAAAAGAACAAGCTTGACCATACGATTTCATCACTGATCATGGAAGGAAGCCAAAGGGGAAGTGGTGTGGTCAGCATACAAGTGGTGCAGACAAACACAAAACCTCACCATAGTCTCACTCCTCCCCCAGAGAAGCTGTTATATATAGCTCCATATACATTTTCAACTTACTTTTGTCCCAAATTAAATAGTGAAGAGAACTAAGCCTGGTGTAGTTTGTGTATATAATCACTGCACACCAAGCAAAAAACAGCTACAAGCTCAAATGTGGTGATTACAACACAGCAAAGACTATTTAAGACTTTATTGCTTTGATGCCAACTGAAGCCTGGCAGGGAAAGTCACACTGGAAAACCAATTATTTCAAACAAACACGACAGTACACTAAGAAAACTCAACACAGGCGCATGCAAGTGCTGGCAACGTCTTCTACAAGCACGACAAACAGTTCAGTACTTTTTTTCTTTAACCCAATTTCAGTGTGATTTATTAGCATGAATGCAGGATGACTGCACATGAATGACATCACAGCAGTTTCTACTGAACTTCTACGCACAAAATATCTCACCCGCACGACTGATTATGTGTGGAATGTTTAACTTAACTCACATGGATACTGAAAAAATTTAAAGACTCAATGAGTTTTCCCAAAATCTTTAAATGGTTATAGAATTTTCTTTAAATGAAAGCAGAAATGTCTCCCCCATGTGATTATCATGTACCATAATGTGCTTAAAATATTTCCAGGGTTGCTGTGGCAGCAGAAGTAGCAAAAGAAAGAGATAGCTAATGAAGAAAGAAGTAGGTTATGAGGAGGAGGAAAAGGAAGAGGGCAGCAGCCAATATGCTGTTTTGGGAGCTAGAAGAGCAGGTAAAAGCGACATGCACACGGCAACCCACCACGCAGTTACCATCACAAACAGAATCCACTTTTGTGGGAAACCCTGCATAATTATTTACAGTCTAATTTTAAGTTTAATGAAACTATATTTTGTAATCTAGGAAGGTAACAATGATTGCAATATCGAGAGCATCCTGAGCGGCTGCATCACTGTCTGGTTTGGGAACTGTGCCATATCGGACCGCAAGACCCTACAGCGGATAGTGGGAACAGCAGAGAAGATCATTGGGGTCTCTCTCCCCTCTATTGAGGACATCTAGACCAGACGCTGCATTCGCAAAGCCACCAGCATTGTGGCTGATCGGACACACCCCTCTCACACACTCTTCACACTCCTGCCATCTGGAAAAAGGTACCGAAGCATTCGGGCACACACATCCAGACTGTGCAACAGCTTTTTTCCACAAGCCATCCGTCTCCTCAGCAAAATGGGACTGGACTGATAAACACACACACACACACACACACACACACACACACACACACACAAAATCACTCAGCTTAACTCAACTACCTCAAAACATTGAGACTGGACTGATTAATCAACACAAGCGCAAACACACTGACCTACACCATCAATATCGTACACACCAACCTGTAAATGCTCTTTTGCACAATATTATTACTGGACTTTTTGCACTAACTTCTTCACTTCCTAATTTTTGCTGCTACACTAAGGAATGTTTACTGTTCCTCCACTACCTCAACTCACCATCACAAAACCTTATTATTATGTTACGTTGTGTTTTTTTTTTTGTCACACTGTCACTTTGTTGCTCTTGTTTGCACATTTGCACGTGCACTTTGTTGTCTGCTGTCTGTTTAAAAAAAAAAAAAAAAAAAAAAAAGGCTTCCCTAGATAGTTAGTTTTTGTTAATTTATGTTGTAATTTATGTTAGGTCAGTCTGTCTTGTCTCTGCTAGCCAGCTAACTAGGCCTCTTAGTTAGCTAGTTTAGTGTTTTCTGTTAATTTATGTTGTAAATTTATGTTGCATGTAGCACCTTGGTCCTGGAGGAACGTTGTTTCGCTTCACTGTGTACTAACTGTATATGGTTGAAGTGACAATAAAGCCAACTTGACTTGACTTGAATATGAGACGTAAATGTGTCATACTGACTGAAAAGGAAAGAATGTGAAGCTTTTTCTTCATTGCTGTACAAGATAAACTATTTTGCAACCTAGCTGGCAAATACATTCTTGGAACACGCGTTCCCACTGATTAAAATCAGCTTACAACACTTTTGTGACGCTAGTACATTAATAAGATGGCAACATTCTGTAACCAGTATATCCTCAAAGTTAAGAGCAGAACTGTACATTTACACACCTGTTTTTTGCGAAGCTTGCAAATCTGCTGCTCCACCATGCTGATCTCCCTGTCTACACGGTCCATGTTCTGAATCAATTCTTCCTTGGAGAACCGAGCTGGAACCAGCTCCAAGTCAGGATCAATATGGACAGGACTTACAGGGGAGATGGGCTCCAGCTTCCCAATGGCGCTTCCGCGATCCTACAGAAGCACAACAGAGAGCACAGTGTCATGATTAGATGTAAAACATATAAAAGATGTAAGAATGAAGCAAATGGGGTTTTTGTAGTGTGACACGTGTATACAATGTTATAGCCAGAAGGTCAGAAAAAAGAGCCCTCACAAACAACAAGCATAAAAGCTGTTGCTAGAAGCTCTTTATAGAGAACGACCTTGTAGGTTTCCTCCCACGCCTTCCATTTCTCAAGGCCACTCTATAAGAAACATCATCCAAACAGTGCGTGTACCCTTTACATCAATAGCACATGCCAGTGAATAAATGACAGCACATTGGCTCCGTGAACACACAGATTCTCTCACCAGATTTAGGCACAATAGAGACTGTTTAAAAATACAAACTCACTCCATTTTTGTTGCTGTGACGACACTTTGGGAGATATCAGATTGGTAGTGGATGTGCGGGAGGTTTAAATTCTGGTGATACTCATTAACCAGCAAAGTAGAAATGATGTGAGTCAGTCCAAAAAAAAACAAAAAAAAAAAAAAAAAAAAAAAAACAGAGGTATCTCCATTAACTGAGCAGCGTTTGTGGCCCTGCATTGGTATCCATTTCTGTAGCTCTTTGGCTACACAAAGAGAGGGACTGCTATGCAGATTGGCTTTCAAACAGCACAAGCAGCTAATATTAGCACCCCACAGCGCTGAGTGCAGCAAGCTACTGTGAAAGCTCGTCTGAAGTCACTGCACTAGAAAACCACTTGACACTGAACTGACAGAGTTAAGTGTGTTACGTTAATGATATTAGTTTATTGCTATATAGAGAGACAGTATGTCAAGCCTCCGTACTGTTACTCTTCTGGCTTTCTGCCGTAATGGAAATACCAGTCCTTAATGCGTGCCTCATACAAGTATTCACAGCATTTTTTGCAGCCAAAGGAAAAGAGAGAAGCAGGGAGGGGGAAAAAAATCTCTACAGTACTTTTATTCTCTGTGCACACAAACACAAAAAAAAAAATTGTGTGATCTCTACACCAAAGTTTTGGCTATGTGGACAAACACCCTTGTACACTCAAACTATTATAACTGCCTGAACAAGAGCAATGCATTTTTTTTATGTCTAAAATACATCAACAATTATTAGAGGAAGGAAAGAAAGAAAAAAAAAAAAAAAAAAAAAAACAGCTGGCTGTCATTTCTCAATAACAATTGGGCCAAAGATCTGGGTGCTTGTGAATGTTCCTACTTTTTGAATATATGCACACATTTTAGTGTTTATCCAACTTGGGTTTTGTATTGTGTTATTTTTAAACGTTTGAAATGAAGGTTACGTAAGTAGGCTAATCTGGACCAGGCAGGTGGCATTACAGCCCTGCAGATCTGCTGTGATTGAAAATGTCAGTGCCAGAGGATGCTCAGGCGCTGTCCTTAATGATGAAATCCTAGGATAGCCCTAACAAAGCACTCACCATATATAGCAGTAAACTACAGGACATACTCATGTTGTCCAAAAAACATCTCTCAACTATAATAACTTTCAACAGCTGCAAACGAAATAGTTGAGTTAGAAACCTTGTTTATCCAGATGGGATTCGATGATATGACAAAACTACATTTTTCAAATCAACTTCTCCCTCTGATTTTGCTCCCTACGCTATCCTTTCTTTGGTTAAGCGGTACGTCAAGAGTTCCTAGACCTTTGACATTGTGTGAAAAGGTCACAGTTCAATTGCTAAGCCCAGTCCAGTATAGCTTATAGCTTAACCGTTTCACACTCTTCAGCATGATGTGAAGCCTTAGACATCCTGTTCTCGTGCTAAGTTCAGAGTTCACTTTCTCAATTCTAGATTGAGAAAGTGCTAGAGTCAACCTACTGAAACCGATGTGACTGAAACATGACTTTCACATATGTCAAAGGTGAATGTCATTATAATACTTTGCACCTAATATAACACCAATGCCAAACAGCACTTGGTTTAATTGGATGCCCTAACAACTAACCACTCTATTTATTCACAGATGCTAGCAAGGCTTAGAGTATGGTAGAGCCCACAAACACAATCCTACTAATGCCACCACGTGTGCAAAAGCCAAATCATATCATTCCCTCCTCCTTCAAAGCAATCCCGGTTATCAAAGGTGCGTCAAGCTAACCAACATATTACTGCTTTCTGTGATAAACCTCAAAATAAAAGGATTGCACACACGCAACAGAAGCAGAAACCTTATAAGAAAATACTCAAACAAATTTTTCCAATACCCAGTATGCCTTTGAAAAATATCATGTGGAGCAATGACACTGTTTTTCCTTCCCATGTACTGTCGAGACCTCAAGTAAAGTCACTGAATGCTCTCAATGGGAAAACCACAGCACACGCAGTGCACTTCTGTATTATACACAACTTTGGCACCAACGGGAGACCGGCATTAATCTGCCAGGAGAGAATGGCTGTCATTCAGATTTTTTTAAAGACGGGAGAGAGAGAGAGAGAGAGCGAGAGAGGGGAAAGTGCATTAGTCAGCTTTGTCACATGTGAATTCCTTCAGTGCCATAAATATTTCATAACATCAACAGCAATGCTCATTTTTAAGCCATATAAGGCCAGTGAACTCTGAGATCATCCCTGTAAAGATGATTTCTCCTAATGTCTCACTCTTATGCTCCCTTATATTTCATTTTCTTTCCAAAAACCACAAATTCAGGATGATTGAACAATGGTTTACTGTAACATGCTGCCTTTGTCCCTCTGATTCTCAGTCCATGTGAGTCATGCTGTAACCATCAGCTTTGTCTGATACTACTGGCCTACTCCCTTTTTACTGTTAGCCTTTTACTCTCATTTTCCTCTATTACCCTTTATCTGCATCTCCCTACATCTGCCCTTTGCCTCATTTCAGCCGCATCTCCCTTTCTAACTCAGTATCATTAGGTGCACTTGTTCCACACAGTGACTGCATCTGACATCACTTACATAATGGGTTTCCAGCCCTTGCCGCTCTAAGGGGGAATTGCTGGCATTCCTGAATGTTTCCCTGCTAGCCTAAGAGTCTGTCTTTTTTCCCCTGTGCCGTCTGTTATTGTTGTATCTATTTACCATTCCTTGGCTGGCTGCCTCCCCTGGCAGTTCGAAGCACTCTGTGTAAAATCAGGAACACCTCCTCATCAGCAGCTCTACACACAAGCAAGTCGTTTTGATCTGTAGTTCACACAGTTTCGTGCTCAGTCTTTTGAAATCTAGGTCAGCTCTATTATTTATTAATTGCTGTTTCACAACTACCTTAGTCTTCCTACTGCTGCTCACAGAGAGCCAGCTTAGCTACAATGCTGAATCTCTCTCTACAACCTCGGCTGTGTGTCTAATAACATCCTCTGGGGCTCTGAAGGAGTCAAATAAAAAACAGATTTCTAGGATGATTTTTTTGTGTGTGTGTTATTTTTCAAGGAAAATCATAATTGTTGAATATCATTTTGGTAATACAGCAAACTCCCAAAATACTGATTGTGTTAATTGAAAAACTTTGTTTTACATCTAGCCCTGTATTTTGCATTTAGCATGGCTTTCTTCTATTGTTATTAGCAGCAAAGTCAAGGACGAATGTTTTTTGTTTTCATTCGCTTGCTGGCACTTTTACTGTACTTCATACCAACTACTGACCTTTGTCATGTCCTCAGGCCCTCCCAGAGGCAATGGCGGGCGGTGGGATGAAGGCCTCATCACAGACTCTGGTCCCATCTCTAAACGAGGCCTTTTGATATCTGCATACTCCACCTCTGATTGGCCAGTGGGCTCTGCTAGGTAGATGTGCTCATAGCGGATATGCTGATCCTGTCCTCTGCAAAAGACAAAAAAAACAAATGCAGCAGATAAGAAAAAGTACAAAATGTTATAGAAGGAAAAAACAGATACTGATGAAAAGCAACATTTTCCTTGATATCTTGTTCTTGCACAGACATAGTGACTCCATCTTGAAACGCACAGGACCAATGATAGTGTTAAAGTCCAGGTGCCACATACGAAAGGGCACTTAAAGATGTCTTGGTGACTTAGTGCCTTGTTGGTTTTGTGTTAAGTGAGTACAGCTTATTTATAAAGGTAATTTGCACAGACATGAAGTCAAAGTGCTCTACAACAGAACAGTATAAAAATAAATACAACTACTGGAGAGACACACAATAAAACCTGCTCTATACCAGATAATTAAAATATAGTAGCAAGTAGGGCTACACGATTAATCGTTAGAAAATCGCGATCTCGATTCATACTTATGTGCGATCTCATTTCCAAATGACAACGATTTAAAAAAAAAAAAAAAAAAAAAAAAAAAAAAAGGACGACGACGACGATTGTGCCGCATTTTGATCCGGGACGTACTCTGCATGAAAACAAGCGCTCACTCTTCCTGTTCAACAAATGACAAGGGCGGAGCCTTATACCACGTGATCCAGAAGCTGTGCCGTGTGATGCTAAAATTAGCAGGGGAAAAAACAACGGAGAGCACGTCAGGGATGACGAGAAAGTGACAGGAGAAAATCCGTCCCGGTCAACCACCCAAACATCAATAACGGGAACCTTATACAGCGCTTCCCTATACCCGTCGAACTCCCGCTAGCACAAAGAAATTAGAGGCTATTGTTGCACTACCTGCTCTATACACGCAGTGTCGAGCAACGGTGGAGACGGAATTTCAAGCAGTACAACATTTAGCGGCAACAACAAAACGTGAGACATTTGTTTTTTTTATGTTTAGTCTCAACTGTTACGAAGTTGATGTGCAGTTAATAAGTGCAATAAATATTTATACTGGAAAAGAAAATCGTGAGAGAATCGTGATCTCAATTCTAAGCCAAAAAATCGTGATTCTCATTTTATGCAAAATCGTGCTGCCCTAGTAGCAAGGCAAAACCACGGAATGAAATAGAACTACAGTAAACAATTAAAGGCAGTTAATATCAAACAGAATCTCTTGCTCTCCTTTAAAAAAAAAAAAAAAAAAAAAAAAAAAAAAACTTACAAAGTTGGCAGTCATAAAACCAGAGCAAAAGACTACTCCATAACTGCCACTGAGTGAAGGCTCTGTCCCGCTACTCTTCAGTTTTAAAACCTCATAATTCCCACATCCACTTGGGTTCAACTGATGTATATTTTATAAATAGACTGTGAGGGTAGATGTTGAACAATCCAAAAGCTTGCCCATGTTTTGTGATCATGCAGACTCCGCAGAGAATTTACATTAAATGCCACCAACTACACATTGGCCCAAAGCTGGAGCTAGACCATTTAGTGGTCTGTATACAAGCGTTTTGAAATAAATTCTAAAATCCACTGAGACCAGTGTAAAGTATGTATAAAATAAGGGTAATATGAGCTTGCTCCCTAGAACATGCTAGTCTGCCTGCACCATTTTCTCTTGAATATGAGAAAGATGGGTCATCTAACCCAGTAAACAATGTCCACAATCTGTGCAACAATACTCATGATACCCACTAAAGAAGAAAATAAAGAAAATTCAGTTTAATTTTTAAGACACCAAATCCTAACAACTGTTGCCTTAAGGCACTTCATATTGCAATGTAAAGCGCCCACAATAACACAGAACACAAGAAAACAGAAAACAAAACGAAATAACAGACCCAGCACTGAACCCCGCATGTTAGTAAGCCATGGAAGAAGAGAACTTCAAGCTTCAGTTACAGTCCAAACTGGACTGACTGAAACTCTCTGAGTGTAACTGCAAAGGTATGAAAATAATTGCCATCTAATTTATAAATGCAGAATGCAAACATGTTACCATCAGTCTGAATGAGTCTTTATCAATAAGCACAACTTATTCTCCACTGGCTGCCAGCTGGTTGTGTTCTGTATTCAAGTTCTTATATAAAAGGAAGGTTGCTAACCGCAAATGTAATAGAAGTAAATTCACATTTTAACTATGTAAACAGCAACACATGTGATTTTCACTGATTTGTCACAGTTAATTGCTGTATAATCAGAAATAGATTGCACGGAAATGCCAGTTTGACCCCATATAATTGCAGAATGAAAGCAGACCATCTTATGGCAACATTATAGGCAGGTTTTAGAGCCTCATTTTGCATTGTTACAACTGTTGTCTTTGTTTTAGTTTCCGAACAACGCGCTGCATTATGGAAACTGTTAACGTTGCAGATGTATGGCAATTCGACTGTGCAGGTGCTCATCTGTGATTGGTGTGCTGATGTACAGCTCCTGGGTGACCGGTTCCAGCCTGTAAACCCACCCTATACGCAGAGCCCACAGAACCAATGGCGAGAGAGGCTCACTTGCTTCCCTGAACGCCTAAGTATGAGTATTGAGAATGAAGTGCTGTTTTCTCTTCTTTTTCTGTGAGTTAATGTACATGGGCATCGGAGCTTAGCTTAGTTTTTGTTTATTATTTTAGCCTCAGCTCACCCTGAAGCGTTGACACTCCTGTTTTGTCGTTTTCTCCTTCACGTTTTTGGAAATAAAAATGACATTTAAGAGAGATGTGGTCCGTGGTCAAAAATTACGCCATCAGTTAACGAATTTGAGAGGACAACACTAATCCTGTGGGCTAGAGACAAGACTCAGAGCAGGCTTGTTTTATCACGATGACCTAATTAAATCCCATTTATACAGACCACAACAAAAAAGTCACGTGTAAACAAGTTGACAGTTACAGCCTGAGATCAGGCTGTCCTAAATCCTTGTGTTCAAGGCTGACACAAGCGTCAGCGGGCTTGGCTTGGTTCAAACCGAATCATCATCAAATAATCACTGACTGCCTTTTTTGTTGTTGTAATATGGCAGCATGCAATTGGTTACCCAGGACTGGAAAGTGGAAAAAATAAGGAAGGAAGAAAATTGGAAATGGTGACTCACTGTAACACTAACATTTACAGCAGCATATACCGAAGGTCTTTGTGGGGTTTGTGTGTGGCCACTGCATACAAAAGTCATAAAAGGCTTTGTTTCAAGCTTCGAGGAAACTATGACACTCCCTATACTGCACACCAACAGTACAATGGCTCTGGATGTTTGAGCCTTACTTACACTAAGAGACAATGTGGCGCGATCTAATCATGATATGCTGCATGTGCAGTGGCAGTATAAATCACACTTTTCGCATTCATTAAATTCATTAATACACTGGGGAAACCAGTAAAAAGGGGGCCTTGGTGTGCAGTCAAATGACAGTTTCCACATGTTAACTGCACTCGCTACTTAGATGTGGGAAGTTTTATTAGCCCGGTTGTAAATGGATCTCTGTTCTTACTAGGGGAGCAGTTTTCTCAAATCTGCCCTGAAGGCAGATGCCAGAATGTCAGTGACTTTGCTGCCAGTGTCAAAATGGAAGTAGCTTCTGAAGAGAAGAGGGAAAACACAACCATAATTGCTGGTCCAATACCCACAATGGCCTAGTGTGAGGTTTCTTTATGTGCCAAAGAACATGTAGCCCATCACTGTCTGGAGGTGTGGTGTAACAATCAAGACATTAACATAATCCAAAAATGTGGACATGCATGTTGGACTGAAATGTGTTATGCTTTTTTTTTTTCCTTTTTTTTTTTTTTAAATTATATAATTTAAAGACAAGTCGCAAACATTATGGACTGCAAACGGCAAAAGATAGAGATACATATATAACAAAAGCAACCGGAGGGAAAAAATATTACCCAGATGGTGTGCGATTTCTCCCCCGGACACAATTTTCTCACTCATTCAGTCGAATACTTCCTCATCTCCATAGAGGACTGGCACTTACATAATCACATCAAACTCTCCAGCCCACCCCCTTCTCTCTCCGTCTCTCCCCCTGTCCTTTTCTTCTCTTCTCTTTCTTTCTCCCTCTCTCCCATGTGAGCGTGCAGAATAATCTGTTCACTAGGGAGGATTTGTCTGGAGGATAGGAGAAAGATGTGCATGGAGGTGAGAGCTGAGAGTGTATGGCAGAGACAGGGAAGGGGCAACACAACACCCCACTACTTTCTTACTGGCTTGGGCCCCATTATGCCAAGAACAGAGATCGTGTATGCTGATTGCTGCCTGTTGTTGTGAAAGCACTACAGCGTTTGTGTGGCTGCCAATCTCTTCGTTGCTCCCCAGAGGAGCAGCTACGCAGCTGTGCACGGTGCAGGAAAGGCTAACAGAGACACACACACACACACACACAGAGAGAGAGAGAGACACACACACACACACACACACACACACACACACACACACACACACACACACACACACACACAGAGAGAGAGAGAGAGAGAGAGACAGAGAGAGAGAGAGAGAGAGACAGACAGAGAGGGAGAGAGAGAGAGACACACACACACACACACAGAGAGAGAGAGAGAGACACACACACACACACAGAGAGAGAGAGACACACACACAGAGAGAGAGAGACACACAGAGAGAGAGAGAGAGAGAGACACACACACACACAGAGAGAGAGACACACACACACACACACAGAGAGAGAGACACACACACAGAGAGAGAGACACACACACAGAGAGAGAGACACACACACAGAGAGAGAGACACAGACACAGAGAGAGAGAGAGAGAGAGAGAGAGAGAGAGAGAGAGAGAGAGACACACAGAGAGAGAGAGACAGAGAGAGAGAGAGAGAGAGACAGACTGACTCCTGGCTAAATGCACCACAGCTGGGATGAATGAAAGTGAGATAATGCACAGTAGAGTGGGGACGGCGGGTGGAGCTCAAAAACTTCATGCAAAATGTGCAAGCCATCTACTTTTCTGTTCACATTACGGAATAAAGTTGCCCAGTGGCCAAAAATACTGGAGAATATTTACAAAATATCGTAGCAACCACATTTATTCAAATACTTAAAAGATCTGTTTCTAGGAAATCAATGTGTGAAATGCAGGTAGAGGCAGAACAATCAAATGAAATAATGTATGTAAAGTAATTCAGCACATTAGAGGCCTTAATCAAAAAAGGCTGCATTGCAATTACAAATGCAACACATTTGAATGAAAGAAAGACTGGGATGTCTAGGCATTCAAAGAGCAGCAATACAAAGGATTCATTTAAAAAGACTACGAACACTGCCAAACTGCACCTACCCATATGCCCAAAGGACTCCGATTACTTTCACAGAATAATTCAACAATAATGCAGGCTATGGTGCAAACTCATTTTCCATTCTTGCACCAGACACATTTAGACACTCTGTTCTGTCCAGAAAATAAAGTGTTAAGTGGCTTCAGTATCTTGTTATGCTTGCTAGAAAATGTATTCGCTCCCTTTCTCAAGAAGCTGGGATGATCTCACACAGACGGGAAGAGGGGGAGTGAGTGAGATACTGCAAGGAGTAAAAAAGGAAGGTGAAACAAACAACTGCCATAGTGGTTCACAAGTGATTACACACTGCAACGGTTTTCTGACCTGTAATTAGGTTAAAATAGCACATTTCCTCCTGCCTTCAGTCCAGATTATTAAAGAGAAAACATTAATCTGTCAAACCGTTTCTCAGTATGACAGATCTCTGGAGAATGGCACAGTTTCTAAAGGCCATATTAGTGCTCACATTTTCTCCCCGAGTTTGCTACAAATGGAAACATGGTGTGCAGAATTACCGAGACTTGTGAAAAGACAAGCACACAGAAGAGAATAGACTGAAGGATTCCAAAGGCCAGAATTACACTATTCACACTCTGAATTCTGAGATCTCTAAAGGAATGCTGAAGCCCTGAAATATTCAGCTGAAAGCTTCCCCACCCCCAGACGCCTGCCAGCAAGACCACCGGTTTATTTCAGCTTCTACAAAGAAATGTGGGCTACCTGTCTGTAATCTCTCCTTCTCATATGAAGGTTATTTTTATGTGCTTAAAAACATAATTCATTGCCACTGTAAAAGCTGCAGAAGGCACAAGTGAGTCAACTCAGAGAGACTGCCAAGTGATTGAATGAAGAGTCAGAAAATCAGAAGCTAGTGGGAAGCATTCAAACTGTGCAGTGTTTATCTGTTTATCAAACCATGACCCAATGTTCCCGCACTGCGGGCTAAGCTAATAACTGTTAAATGGGGCCAGTGCACAGCTCTCTGTTATACAGTGAAGACCATAATGCTAGCAGACTGACATTTAAATAAGCCAAAAATAAAAATAAAAAAATATGCCACAGCGCTACAGAATCATTTTGCCATCTGCTGTCTGCCATGTCAGACACACAAGATGATTTATATACTGAAAGACAGACCCCAGCCTACTCCTGACTGATGTAATATCTGTCAGCTGATTTCTAGTAAAGTCTGCCTACATTTTGTATTCCATGCATGTTTTAATACATGCAAGAAAATCTGCCAAACAACTGAAGGAGGAAAAAAATTCTTGTGACTTCCTCTGTGCGTCATGCAAAATTCATATCATGCACATCAATTATTTATAAGTACTCATCAAGTTTCATCCTCAAAAAGAGATTATATTATATAAATAAAGACCATTAGCAGGTACAAGACCTGCATCTGCATTGACAAGGTACTACTCATACAATTCTTTGGCCAATTTACTGTTTGGTCGATTAGAAAAGCTTTTTTTTTTTAAAAATAAAAATAAAAATTTTTTTTAAAAAAAACCACCTCTGCAAGCTTCATTGCCCAGCACAGCAGTTTAACACAACATTACAGAAGAACGGCTGCAGATGCCAATTACATAAGGATTAAACTGGGGGAGGGTTAACAGGCACAGGCTTTAACAGAATAATACTGCATAACAAATGCTGTCTGCAAGAAGCCTCTATGTGGCTGTGGCTAGCAATCAACAAGAACAAATTCATCAAATTTGGCAATGCCACATAAGCATCCATCCATCCAATATCCAGAGCTGGCGGCCCAAAAGGCCGCTCCCTTGATGTGTGACATCTTCCCCATTCACCACAAAGTCTCTGACTTTCATCTACTACTACAGCTCAGTCCCACATTTCTAAAATTACACTATTAAGGATGAATTACTTTTCTTTCTTTCTTTTTTAATTGAAATGTGCATCTAGTATAAAAATATGGTGTCACCAATAAAACTAAAGCAGTGGCAGATGCTGAAATGATCTGTAACAATACATCAATAGCATTTTTTTGTTCAGCAAAAGCTATAATTATGTTAACCTAAAATATTTTTTGTAGTAGACATTGTTGGGCATTCACCGACACCAATTTTATATCTACACATACATTCAATTGCAATCAGTGACCTCACGCAGTTTTAAAAAAAAAAAAAAAAAAAGACCAAGAGAAATCTTCTCTGGTAGGTTTCAAAATTAGAGAAATGTGTTCCTCGTGAGGGGATAGACCATATTCATGAAGAAGGCATCCTTACCTTTCACTTCCAGGCTGGAACTCTGAAAGCAAAGAAGGTCGACGACGATGGGGCTGGGTGAGGTGGGGACTGTATTCCCTGCTATGATGAGAGGGGTAGTCAACCAGTCCGACATCCTACAACAGAGACAACAAATCTTATAGAAACTCCATCCTCATTAGAACACCACGTAATGTTAGTGTTAGAAAACCACAAATACCTCCCCCCAAAAAAAGTCTCCTGCCTTGGTTCTCCTGTAATTTCTTATCTTTTATCTTAAGCTCTCTGTCAGTTGGCGATATGTCACACATTCCATCAACTTTCATCGTCCAATGAATATGATGACATAAAGGAGCAGCAGGGTTAAACTAATGGTGGCCTAAAGTCTTGGAACTTCCTGTCATTCAAGTGAAAAAAAACCCCTTGCAAACACTAAAGGTCAGTGAATGAACTTTTACGTCAGCCAGAGGCCTCTTCTTTCAAGCACAGACAGCTTTGTCGACGATGCGTGGAAGAACATAATCTTGATAATTAGGAGATGTGGGTGGAAATCATGCGGAAGGCCTTGATGCCGACTCCATAACAAAAACATGAACTTTCAACTCAAACATCTAATGAGGGGACCATTTTCAGGTTACGGCAGTGTAATCTGGAAAAACACCTATGGGGGTCTTTGGGGTTAAGCCCTTCCCAGTAGATCTGACTAAAATCCTGTTTACCAAATATCCAAGTAGGAACAGCCAAGCCACAACTACAGTTTTCATCTTTCAAATGTTTTTCCCTACAAAACAAAAAGGCAACACAAGTGATTCCATTAAAATCATTGTGTGTAAGGCCCCTTACCGTGTGTGCCCGTTGCAGCTGCAGTGGTAGAGTGGCGGGGTTTGGCAGGTGCCGTGTGTCCACAGTCCTCCGGCCCGGCGGCACAGTCTGGGGATGAGAGGACATGCTGGCACAGCCGCTTCCTCTACAGGCAGGAAGTGGGTGTTGCTGTAGAGCAGATGCTGCACATTATCGGCCGTTTCTTTTAGCCTGCAACCTATGAGAAAAGAAAAGAAAAAAGATTAGATGTTTTGAAAGTTAGGCCAGTGGAATTGCTCTCAACAACAGAATAATCACAAAACTGGCTGTAAGCACAGCTCTTTGATGCTTTCTGGATAGTACATCCAAAAAAAACTAGAGATCTTAGAATGTCATCACATCCCTACCACAGCTGCTCCACCCTTAGTAAAGAAGTGAGAATCCTTGCACCTGCTAGACCCAACCTCTCATTCACAGCCTACTGAATGGCCCACTGTCCACACACGGAGGACTTGCAGACAACACCGGCCAAGACAAGCAACCAGCCAGTAAAAATACTCCAAGCGCGATGGGGTTTTAGGACCAACATAAATAACTCATTTCCAGATAGAGATGTAGGTCTCAGGAGTCAGGCCACTAGATTTTAACTGCAGATGACATTATGTAAACCAGAGTGGTCACATCCACAAGGAGTATGGCATATATGGACCCAAAAATAAATAAATAAATAAATAAAAAAAAAAAAATGGACATACAAGTAAAAACAGCCCTGAGTGCTACCTACAGAATGAGGTATAGGTAGGTCTGTCATATAGGCCTGAGACAACTTTAATTATTAATATATTATATATGTTATCATTATGAACATATATGTGGACCTCGGGCACCTCCTGCAACAAGGAAGGAAGTGAAGAGAATTTGTTACTTAAAGGTAACAGGTGTTAATCACAAGGACAGACATACAGAAGAATAAGTTAAAATTACTTTGCAAGGTAAAGGAAAAAAAGAATCATCTAATGACATGCTAACTGCAATGCAAATGCTCAGAAATGGTGGCAGCATGCAGTACTTGCAATGCACTGGCCGCAACCCTGTAATTGGGTTTAAAACCCCATAAAAAAGAGGGAATAACTGCCCTGTCCTCATTACAGCGACAATGCAAATTATAGCAGATGTTGGAAAACATATTTGCAATATAAAAATTAAAGAAAGAAAAAAAAAAAATATATATATATATATATATATATATATATATATATATGAAATTTGTTTCTCAATGGGATGGATGGATGGATACACTTATAGTCTTATTTGTGAGATTTCACTCTCCACATGATGTTCACCATCATTCTCAGGCACACTTACAAGCCTGCTTTGCTAGTAGTAGTGGATGGACTAGTGCCTGCGACATGTGTCCCTGTGACTTCTGCCAGCAGAGAAATTAGGCCTCCTGCCATTTCTGCAGGGCTTTGGCTAATGACGCCTCCCTCTCATAGCTCATGTTTCAGTGCTGTGTGTGGCGCACAACAAGAGGCATGGTGAAATATGGGCACTCAACAGGGGCACTGATCGAAATCTTGACAAGATAGCAAAGTGCTTTAAGTGCACTGCAATTTTGTAAACTGAATGGGAAAGCCACTGTCACTGAGCCAAACGCTCAAAACAAGTCCAAATGCATTTCACTGCTCGACGACAAGATGGGACACAGAGTAGTTTCTTACTAAAGTCTAAAAAACGCTATGCAAAAACACTTAACAACAAACATAAGTAGTTATTAAACATATGAAATAAGCAACACCAACTATGTATTCATACTTTAATATGCAACAATGTTTAGTGATTTGATAAATTAATGACTATTAGAACAGAAACTACAAACACATTATCTTGTTTCATTTGGTTACTTCCCAATTTTATTGATGACACACATACGAAAGACATGCCCTATATCCTATGTGGAACCCTCCATTTCCAATACTGCATTAACAGATCGAGCCTTAACTACTGCTACTGGCTGTTAACTGAGCAGCAGTACTTAATTTCTTTAGTGCTGGAATATTAATTTGAGTAATAGAAAGAAGCACTTTGCCTACACTGAGATTAGTCTAATTTTAGATTTAAATTATTAAAGAATAGATAATAAGGAAAACTAATATGCTGTTTGGCTCTACAACGAAAAATTAACGTTCACTATTTTACGGAAAGTGGCAACGATATTGTGCTGGGCTGCTCCAGAAAAGCTGGCAGGTTAGCAAGTAATGGCAGACAAACATTAAAAACTACAGTCAATCACTGCAATCTGCAAGCAACCAAATGAATCACTTGGTGCAGCAATAGATTTAATCCAGCAACAGCCAGAAGCCTTCAGTAACCGCTGCCAGCCAGTCGGGGAATACATGTTGTTCCCTAGCAGCCGGTGGTTGTATCACATTCAATATGGCGAACAACTCTTGAGTATTGTGGCCATGACGTCACATGACAAACCGCAACTACTGGCTATAGTTCCTCATAGTGAGCTCCTTTCAAGTCTCTCAGCTGGGACAGGCTGAGTAATAATCTTTGCAACTGGTAATAAAGTAGAACTTTTTATAGCACAATGAACCAGAGACCAAATCACAGCACTACTTTGGGCAGAGTACTATTGTGCCAGTCTCCATTGTCTGACTATGATTTTGAGTCTTTTTTCCCCAGCACAAAGAGGGGCACTATCTACCCTTCCTTCCTGTTCAACTGTCACAAACACAAAGTGTCACTTGATTTCAGTTACGCAAAGGGCTCTATTACGAAAGGCTGAACATGGCTCTGACTGTAAGAAACAGAGGAGCTCTGTAAACATAGGCTCATAGAGGCCACAAGATGGGAAAACACTGCTCAGAGTCTCACACCAACTAGAGACTGTGCCTTTGTGTCTCGCAGTCTAAACTGTGGCTTCAAATATTTTCACAAAACTAGTGCACACTCATTGTTTGGTCAGACAGACTTGAGTAAACAGACCACAGAGGGAAAGTCCTTTAGCAGAAACCCTTAAATAATTTAAGACACTATTACTGTATTGACATAATGTGTACTATTCAAAATAAAAGGTCAAAAAAAAGAGGCCAGAAAGACTTAAACGGGGTGAGATGAGCCTACCCACGCAGAAACCTCTCTTTGATGACTGTCGTGTTCAGAGAGATTCCCCTGAGAAGTGAGAAAACAAGTCTGCAGGCCGTCACAAGATCGGCTAGGGCTGCTCGATTATGGCAAAAATGATAATCACGATTATTTTCACTGAAATTGAGATCACGATTATTTGACGATATTCATTTAACCCTTTAAGACCTACCATAGAACCAAGTCCACCAGAGCTTATATTATTATTTTTTTTACATGTTGTAGTGCCATTTGTGGGAGCATTTCAAGTTGCTATACATCAATACAACTGTTATAGCCCATATTTTAATAATATGTATGCATTAAGTGCATAGTAATTACATAAATTGCAAAAAAGTGCAATAAACTACAAAAAAAATTGAAAATCGCTTTTGTTTTGTTTACATATATTTCTACTTGGAGAAATTTAAGAGGTTTATCCCTCAAAACTTTAAATACAATAAAGTTGCAAAAAAATAGTTTCCCACCACAGGAAATTTATTTTGAGTGTCTTCATAGTTTTATTTTGGAGATACAGCAATTTTTATATACTGCAGGAAAAACAAAAAACAATCCTATGATGCAAATTTGCAAAGAAAACAGCATGTGCATCATTTTACTGTGGGAAGTGTTACGAACAGCTGATAGGAACGGCAAAGCATGTTTCTGGAATATTATGTTTTTGTTCCTGCAAGCGCTTTTTATGCAATTTTTGCAAAGCTATATGTGGAACGAAACCGTGACCTAGGACAAGCTGATGGCATCAGATGTAAGTACAACTCCTCCGGTTTCATATGCAAAACAAATTATTGCGCTAGCTTACACGGTTCAGGTTCTACAGGGATTTAACAATAGTTACGCAAAACGGAGCGTGCTGCTCTGACCGGCTTTAAAGGGTTAACAATAACTTTAAAAAAATAATATAAAATAGTGTGCAACACCACTGAAGTTTTTTTTTTTTTTTTTTAAACTCTCTTTTCAACCAACGGCAGTCACTCTCCAAATAACTTCTGCTTAGCTTTCCAAGCTTCCCTCGGGTCCTCTTAATCAGCGGTCTCCACCCTTTTTTGCGCCACGGACTGGTTTATGCCCGACAATATTTTCACAGACGGCCTTTAAGGTGTCGCGGATAAATGAGGGAGGGGCTAATAATCGGCTCAGTCATTTTTAATGATCGTTGAAAGCCCAGATCGTAATCGTGATTAAAATTCGATTAATTGAGCAGCCCTAAGATCGGCAGAGAACAAAAAACCTCAATCAAGATGAGAGAACCAACACAATGAGTGATCTTTGACATCCACTCTGAAGCGAAAGGGGCCTTCCAGGCGACAGGCTAAACACATGCACTGGCACTGCTACAGACACCCACAGGCAAGTCGTTGGCTTGCTTCCAATGCTGCAAATGAACTCAGTCACCTCACTCTCTCGCTCTAGCGTGCCTTCCTTCCCCACTCTCTTTTTACTCTCTTCTTTTCCACATAGTAGAGTGGGCCTCAACCTTCAGCAGTGCAAGCCAATATTTCATCCTCTTACCCCCACACACCCCACCCTCCCTCTCCATTTTAGGAATGGCTTTGGAAATACTAGCACAGAGCACACAGACGGCTTGCAGTCTTCAAGTGGAGCAGAAGGCAGACTTCAAACAACAGTTTCATTCTACTGATATAAACAGTTATTCAAATCTCGGTGTGCTCAGACTTTGTAGCTTGAGCACAATTGATTGTCCTCATTCCTGAGAAAATTAAAGGATTTTTTTATATACATGATTGTGAATACTAAAATAGAAGCAAACAACTATTTGCCATGTAAAGATACAGCGCTGTAATTGTATCCTTAGCAGAGACCTAGTAAGCTCACTACCAGCTCCATATGTTTATTCTGAACTGAAGTAGCTTTGCATGATTTACAGTTCAAGGTAATCTGTGTTTATCCTAAACTGGGTCTTAGTGTATCCCCTCAGTTCATCCACCATCTCAAACAGGCCATTTTAGCTCCCTTACCCCTTCCTTTATGCCAACTTTCTTGTGATTGGCTGCCACTTGTAAACAACAAGTAGGTGAGGCTGTTATACTCACTACCCGGCTCAGACACCCAGAGAGTGACAGG